GAGACTGAGCTCCCTACACGTTGCCCAGGCTTGCGCCCTGGGGAGGTCACTTGGGTGCTACTAACATTGTGGTTTGACTTCACCCCTGGAGACGCCCTCCATTGTCTCTTGAGACAGACGGATGCCAACAGCAACAAGGGATATGAATGTATTAGCATATTAAGGTTAAACTCACCCATAATTTGTACTGCATTTATCAGATCGTAGTGACTGAAACCTTATTTTTCCTACCCCGCTGTAATAAAATGTCCCTTTCGAAATTTTCTCTGCTTGTGGATATGATTTTTTGGGCCTTAAGCACATTTTCAGGACCACACACATTTTGACTCACGTGAAAAGATTCATCTCTCTCATGTTCACATTTTTGGGTTCATGTGTGAATTGCGCGGGTATTATGCATTTTCCCAGAGACACATTTAACGCTGATAACTTGTTGGTATTTACCTGTGCAAGCCAAGTTGCAAAGCCAGGATCATACTGCAGGGGGCACATTCGATGCCTGCATTCACCTTCCATGTCAGAGCTCTGCCCATATTTGTAATATGGGGATAATGATAATATGGGGATAATGCTGGCTGATGTGAAAAGCACAGGCTGCAGGCTGCACCACGAGAGGGAGGGGAAATATGTGTCATTTCTCCTGTGGTCCTTACTACCGCCACCCAGTGGATATTTTTAGCTCCTGCCGGACTAATTTCTTTCCTGGGTCAACCAGCTCTCTAAACTGGATAGTATGTTAAGGCAATTAGGGGCCTAATTGTTCCTTTTTGGGGGTGGGGGAGAGACACTATTCGTAGTACTGCGTGCTTCCAATATGTTCAACACCCCCCCCCAAAAAAATCTGCAAACAAACCAAATTTAGCTTTTACTAAAGGTTTCTATAAGGCAACAATTTAAACAGCTGTGAAGTTGTTAGTAAAATAAAAATAAAAATGAACATTTAACCACTAGAACAAATGCAAACTACACAGGGAAACACATCCTGATACCCAGTTGAGACTAAGTGTTAAAGCAACTCCCAGGCTTTTCAGTGTTAACTTTGATCCTGAAAAATCTGCTGCAGTCCTCTGGCTTTTTCCTTCTGGTTTCTGTACTTTTCCTTCAATAGCACTCTAACAAGACAATCTAACGATGTCTACTCAGCTGCAAGTCCTATTGAATTCAATGGGGCTTCCTCACAGGTAAATAGCGCTAGCCCTCTTCTTTGTCAGTTCTACTTACACACCTCGTTTCCAGCGCTTGCCAAACCTGTCAGCTAATCAGAAGCGCAGCGGTAGAGTTTTATTTGCATTTATCGTCCTCATAATTTATTTGGTTTCTTCCCACTCCCTCACTCCCCTTTAAGGCTTTAGGTTTCCTTTTCCCCTTTAGTGTCAAACATCTTGGTCGAACCTTTGCCCCTTCTGATCGGAGCAACTCGAAAAACATAAACCAACCGTTTTTATGATAAAGAACAGAATATAAAATGGTGAAACAATCCTCTTCCTTGTGGTCATTTGAAGTGCTTTCGGCACCTTGAAAGCACTATATAAAAGTTAATATTTAACCTCATAGCCTAGCATCAGTTCATTCTCTAATCAGTTTCTGCATCAGGTCCATATATGTGAAAGTGTCTATTCCACCTCTCTGTTCATAGAGTCCAACATAGAGTCAACGGCAAAACAAGGCTTAGACTCTGTGAAAGGATTCTGTGGAACTGCAACAACCTTTCGTGTGGATTGTTGGACTCTATGAACAGAGAGGTGGAATAGACACTTTCACATATATGGACCTGATGCAGAAACTGATTAGAGAATGAACTGATCCACTGGGTCTTCTACTTTTTTCGTTGAACTTTATGAGCTTCTTCTGTTGAAATCTACAATTCAATACAATACAATGAATAGTATACATTATTTTTTCAAACGTACAGCCAGTTACGTCTTGTGTGTTTATTGGGTATGCAAGGCTTTGGCAAAGGCGGACCTCACCTTCCTATTCTGCCTCAGGTGGTGAAACAGGATGGGCTGCCCCTAACCCCCACTAACAATGAGTAGCCCATGGGTGCCGAGGTAGGCAGAAGGTAGTTCCAGAGCGATCTACCAGTAGATCTTGGAATGATTTGCAGTACTGGGTTTTTGTGTGGCAGGGCTGAGAGTTCAGTTTTGGAACTGTATGCAAATTCCTGGGCTGAGCATGTGCTCAGAGGCTAGTTTGTGCTTGTCTCAAGTTGGCAGATCTTGGGTTCTAGTAAAAAACCCAACACACATGCACACACACACACACACACACACACACGATCCCTCCCAATTCTGAGGTCTGCCTGCCTCTGGCATACGATATAAAGCATTCAGTCTATATGCACCATAAGCTTAGTCATATTATTCAATGGTTCATGTTAACGTGAATAATATTCATCGGTTTGCATTACAGATATTCAGGTACTTACATATATGTAAACCAGGTGCTACCCACTTGATTGACATGCAGTAATTCCTTCCATACCTGGATAATCATCTACTAATAAAATCTCCAGGGAACACGATAACCATATAGCTTTAATTGCTATTGCTAGTGAAATGTTAACAGGAAAATTTGTAGTGATTCTACTTGAAATTTGGTATCTTGGGGAAAGGCCCACAACCCTAATATTTCCCCCTCTCTTTCGAATAATACTGTCACAGTAGCCACAATGAAAAAGCCCAGAGGTCTTCTTGATATCCAATACTTGCATCAAATAAGATCTTAGAAGTAAGTAATCTGTACACTTTAAATCATTCAAGAGCTCCAGGGGAAAGTTTGAACACTGGCTGGAAAGGGCAGGAGGCTATTTTTAAATGCTGTTCGCAACTTTTCAAATAGTTGTGCAAATTTATAAACTAACTGTATCTTCACCGGAGATTCAGTATGCCTGTGACTGTTGAGGGCAGTTCACAAACGTTTGTTGTTTCACCTGAAAAAGCCGAGATAAGGATATAATATATGCACAGTCAAATCATGAATGGATTACACAATTCATATATTTTGTAGACCCACTTGTGAGGGTTTTAGCCTGAAAGGCAGCCTAAAAAATACAACAACAACAATAAATATTTAAAAAATCTGCATGCCGCCTGTCCCATTTTTTCTTGGCATCTTGTGAAGTGAACAGCATCTATTGGAAATCCACGTCCCAAAAAAACCTAGGCATGGAAAAATTTAAATAAATGGCCTCCCCAGGCCACTCAAGGCCAAATTGGGCATTACATGCAGATAAGTAGTATACTTCATCAGTTCAGCATTCCCCCCCCTTTTTTTACTATTGTATTTTGCATATCTCTTTTCTCCCCCCTTTTTTTCTTTTTCTTTTTCTTTACAAAGTAATAATCACAAATAAAAATAATAAAGAATAAAAATAATAAAGAATAAAAATGTGCACCCCACCCCCAGGACCATTCCATTGTTAACTATCCTACCTCCCAAAATTTCAACACCTCTTGCAATGGTTTGGCCCCTTTCCGTTTTAACAGTACAAATTCTACAAACACTGTCCATGTCGCCTCGAAATTATTTCTCCTGTGTATTCCCTTTCTTACCTTAATGGCACATGTTAATTTATCATTAATAGCTATATCCCACACCTCTTTACACCATTCTTCCATTTTAAAGTCTTCCTGCCCCTTCCAATTCCTAGCTACCATCATTCGTGCAGCTGTCAATAAATCTGTGAGCAAGTACTTCATGGCCTGCAAACCTTCCGCCTCTTCAGCATCCTTTTTAAACCTGAAAAGTCAGGTAGGACTGGAGATATTGGAAGAGAAGGTGGTGCTTAAGCCTTTCTCTTGTGAGCCTTCCAACCCTTCAATGCTTTAAACCAGTGGCTCCCAATTGGTGGTCACCCACCAACGGGGTCTGTGGCAGATACCCATCAACTGTCTGGGACATCTCATTTTGGGGGGCTGTGCTCTCATGCAGGTCACATGACTCATGTGGGAGGGAGCATGGCCCGGAAGATGTGCACCCCGGTTTTGTGCCGGGGGCATGTTGGAGGGTATGGTGGCACCATTCACAAGACTACCAGAGGGATAACATTTTCAAAAGCAGGGGGTCCATGGCTTGGCTTTTGAAAAACAAGGGGTACGCACTACTTAGCTAATTGGGAACCACTGCTTTAAATGGTTGGTGTGCACGCAGGCCAGTCCACATGTGCCTCCCTTGGGGAAACAGGTAAAAAAAGAGAGAGTTGAGAAGAACTTTTCATAGCTTGTACCACCGCAGCCCTTCTCTTGCTTTGGGGGGGGGCAATATAATCCCATTCTTGTCACTCTATCCCACCATGTCCTCTGCTCTGACAAGGCTGAGTGGGGCGAAGGATTCCATTCAGAACTTGCAGGGCAGAAAGAATTGCACATGTCTGTTTCACAGTTGAGGCTGTTGGATCTTTAACTGCCAGGTCATTTAAAAAGCGGGTATGTGGCAGGAGTAATGGGGGAAGGAAGTTGCTGGAATTAGATAACGGGTGAGGGGTACACATGGGAACAAAGGGGAGCAGCTTCGCACATTCATTCCCCATTAGGCCAGCTATAGGCCGAGTTTAAAGCCTAGTTTAAGCTGCCACCCTTCTCTGGAACTAAAAATGGCCACTGGCAAATGGCTGTCGTGGCACAAGATGTAGGGCCTCTGGCTCACATCCACTGAGCCAGTCAGAACCTGAAGTGAAGGGAGAAAGCAAGCAAGGAGTAGATAGTACAGGTGGTCGGAGTCAGTGAGGGGCTGAAGAGAGCAGGAGCGCTTATCAAGAAAACAGAAGTTCCCTAAGTATATCTCCATACACTCCAGTTGCCCCTATCAACAGGATTTCAGTGGGCATAAACACATTGGGCTGTGCTAGACAGTAGCTCCTGATTCTAAAAAGGAGAATAGGTGGTTAGGCTGAATTACAGGGTTGCTGCATACCTACTGTTACGTTGTTAATGCTTTTCCCAATTCCCCTTTGCTGCAGTAAGTCCAGGACTGCTGAGCCTGCCAGTTTAACATTTGGAATGGCTGAGAAAAAAAAGGTAACCTTACTGAAACAATGCCAGAAATGCCTCATCGACATGAATGGAGACATGTTAGATTCACAGGGTATATGTCTTCACTGCAAAGCTGAGGAGCAGCAAAAGAATCAGAAAGGCAAGAGGTAAGGCAGGGTAGAACAGCAAGGTTTGGATTAATTTACGGAACTCACCAACTACAGTCATACCTCGGGTTACAGACGCTTGAGGTGGCACGATTTTGGGTTGCGCACTGTGCTGAACCCGGAAGTACCGGAAGAGGTTACTTCGGCGCATGCGCAGAAGTGCTGAATCACACTTTGTGCATGCACAGAAGCGCCGAATCGCAACCCGTGCGTGCGCAGATGTGGCGCTGCGAGTTGCGAATGTGCTTCCCGCACGGATCACATTCGCAACCCAAGCGTCCACTGTAGATGGCTTTAAAAAAAAAAGTACCATTGGAGAATGGATCCATCAATAGCTATGTTTTTTTTTTTATAATGATATTTATTAAAGTTTCACAAAAATACATAAAAATACAAAACAAAGAAAAAAGTATAAAGTTTTAAGATACAACAAAAAAGTAGAAAATAAGAGAAAGCGTACAAAATAAAACAGTTAAAAACACAATAATATTCCATAACCTATCTTCCTTACTCTTATTTCCCCGGACCTCCTCATACCTCCCTTCTTTGTATTCCAATTCAATTTGTTGGTTCAGCAAATCCTTACCATTAATCTTTTACCCAATTGTTAACCTTTTTTCCATGTCTCTTAAAGCATTACAGCCAAAAACCTCTTAGTTTCTATCCAACATCCTTCTAAAGTTCCTTAATTTTGCAATATTTCTGTAAATAGTCCTTAAATTTCTTCCATTCTTCTTTCACCGACTCTTCTCCCTGGTCTCGGATTCTGCCAGTCATTTCCGCCAATTCCATGTAGTCAATCACCTTCATCTGCCATTCTTCCAAAGTGGGTAGATCTTGTGTCTTCCAATACTTTGCAATAAGTATTCTTGCTGCTGTTGTAGCATACATGAAAAAGGTTCTGTCCTTCTTTGGCACCAGTTGGCCGACAATGCCCAAGAGAAAGGCCTCTGGTTTCTTCAGAAAGGTATATTTAAATACCTTTTTCAGTTCATTATATATCATTTCCCAGAAAGCCTTAATCTTTGGGCACGTCCACCAAAGGTGAAAGAATGTACCTTCAGTTTCTTTACATTTCCAACATTTATTATCGGGCAAATGATAAATTTTTGCAAGCTTGACTGGGGTCATGTACCACCTGTATATCATTTTCACAATATTCTCTCTTAAGGCATTACATGCCGTAAACTTCATACCTGTGGTCCATAACTGTTCCCAGTCAGCGAACATAATATTATGTCCAACATCTTGTGCCCATTTAATCATAGCAGATTTCACCGTTTCATCCTGAGTATTCCATTTCAACAGCAAGTTATACATTCTTGACAAATTTTTAGTTTTGGGTTCTAACAATTCTGTTTCTAATTTTGACTTTTCCACTTGGAAGCCTATTTTCTTATCCAAATTATATGCCTCCATTATCTGATAGTAGTGGAGCCAGTCTCTCACTTTATTTTTTAATTTTTCAAAACTCTGCAATCTCAATTTATCTCCTTCTTGCTCCAAAATTTCCCAATATGTCGGCCATTTGGCCTCCATATTGAGCCTTTTCAGAGCTTTTGCTTCCATTGGTGACAGCCACCTTGGGGTTTTATTTTCCAATAAGTCTTTGTATCTTATCCAAACATTAAACAATGCTTTCCTAACAATATGGTTTTTGAATGCTTTGTGTGCTTTGACCTTATCATACCATAAATATGCATGCCATCCAAATACATTGTTAAACCATCAATAGCTATGTTAACTAGACAGAGCTTCCATGCTCAGGGCTGTAGGGAAGGGAAAGTGGGGCGGGAAAAAGCAGGCTCTGGTTATATACTTCCTGTAACAACTTGGTTGGCCAATATGGGGAAGAGAATGCTGGACTGGCTGGCTCTTTGGTCTGATTTGGTTCTTGTTAAGTCTGGCTGGGGTTGGGGTTAAGAGAGAAAAGAGGAAGCTAGAGCATTCATTCAAAGACCCTGTGACTTAGCTGGCTAGCAAGGGCATCAGAAGAGCACTTCTGCGTCAGAGCAAAGGCCCATTTCATCTAGCACCCTCTTCTCCCAATGGCCAGCCAGATGTCGAAGGGAAGTCCACAAGCAGGGCATGAGCACAACAGCCCTCTCCCCACTTGTGCTTCACAGCAACTGGTAGTATTACTCCACGCCTGAGAGTAATACTCAGCCATCATGGCTTGTAGTCATTGGTACCCTCAACTCCCAAGGCGTTCTTAAAGCCATCCAAGTTGGTTGCTACATCTTATGGTTACGAATTCCATACTTTGTGTGCTATGTGAGGAATTACTTCATTCTGTCTGTCCAGAATCTTTGAATATTCAGATTCCCTGGATGTCTTTGGGTATTATGGGAGAAGGAGAAAAACTCTCATCTAACTCCACACCACATATAATTCTACACACCTTTAAATCCCTAAATGGCCTTGGTCCAATATATCTGAAGGAGCGTCTGCACCTCCATCGTTCTGCCCAGACACTGAGGTCCAGCGCCGAGGGCCTTCTGGTGGTTCCATCGCTACGAGAAGCCAAGTTACAGGGAACCAGGGAGAGGGCCTTCTCGGTAGTGGCACCTGCCCTGTGGAACGCCCTCCCATCAGATGTCAAAGAGAAAAACAATTACTAAACTTTTAGAAGACATCTGAAGGGAGCCCTGTTTAGGGAAGCTCTTAATGTTTAATAGGTTATTGTACTTTAGTGTTTTGTTGGAAGCCGCCCAGAGTGGCTGGGGAAACCCAGCCAGATGGGCGGGGTAATAATAATAATAATAATAATAATAATAATAATAATAAATTATTGTTGTTATTGTTATCATCATCATCATCATGGCCTCCCTTACTTGTCTTTTGTCTGAACTAACAAACTTGCAAATGCTTCCCTTTCCAGAACCCTTTCCAGCTCTGTAGTATCCTTTTTGAGGTGTGGCAACCAAACCTGAACACAGTATTCCAAGTGCAGCCTCACCAGAGAGTTGTATAATGATAACGTGATACTAACACTCTCTCTTCCCCCACCCCTCCGCCCTCAGTCCTGTTCCAAACGATCCTGAACATGGAATTTGCCTTCTTCACAGCTGCCATATACTAGGCCACCGTTACCACCAAGCTATCTACTATTATTCCAAGATAGTCTTACTCATCATCACCACTTCAAACCTCACTAGCACATCTAGGAAGCTTTGGGATGCACATCACTTTTTACCTGGCTTATCTCTTTGCACATTGAATCATACTTGCCATTTTAATGATCATTCAGCCCAACAGAATGAGAAACTGAAGCCAACATATTTGCTCTCCCTTACTTCTGAAGCTGTGATCCTTCATATTCTAAGCTGTAGTCTCTTTGCTTCTTTACCCAAATCCCAAGATCACTATTCTGCTGGCAAAATTCACTTTTAAACAGAAAAATCAAGCTTGGTTGGAATTTTATTTCTAACTTTCATTTTAAAAAATGCAGCAGTAGCATTGTTTTACATCATTTTCTATTTATGATCAAGTATGCATCACATCTCTATATAAGGTAAAAGGTAAAGGAACCTTGGACGGTTAAGTCCCGTCAAAGGCGACTATGGTGTGCAGCACTCATCTCGCTTCTCAGGCCGAGGGAGCCGGTGTTTGTCCGCAAACAGCTTTCCGGGTCATGTGGCTAAACCACTTCTGGTGCAACGGGACACTGTGATGAGTGCCAGAGTGCACGGAAATGCTGTTTACCTTCCCACCGCAGCGGTACCTATTTATCTACTTGCACTGGTGTGCTTTCAAACTACTAGGTTGGCAGGAGCTGGGACAGAGCAACAGGAGCTCACTCCGTCGCACGGATTCAAACTTCAGACCTTCCTATCAGCAAGCCCAAGAGGCTCAGTGGTTTAGACTACAGTGCCACATGTGTACCTACATCTCTAGATGCAGATACCAACACCAGTGCTCAAAATTTAAATATTCAATGCCACCTCAGTTTCAAATGACCGGGGCTGTGACTTTGCACTCAGTGAAATATGCACGCAGGAACTGATCACACCTTTATATCCTGCAGATAAAGTTCTGGGCTCGTGTTACCAAGATACTACCAAGTAGGTGAAATGACATTGCAAAACTGATCAGATCAGATCTAGTACACCTCTGTGGGCAATTTTCTTCTTATATGCACCTGCTTCTATTGACAAATTTTGAAATTTCAGAAGTGAAGCCAATGAAAGACCTCCTTGTGCTTGCTTCACACCTCTTATTCTCTAGGACCAACTTAGCATTAGGGGTGCTTCCAGATGATATGTTTATTGTGCATTGATCCTGATTTGCTCACAGGGAGGCTAGATGATGTTGCATCGAAGCAAGTGCTATCCTACCCTTTCCATTGCATTTGCTCCTAACTTTCCATATCACAAAAAGTTAGATCTCTTGAGGAAGTAGGTTTGTTGCCCAAGAGCTCCAAATCAACTTTAATTTGCCAGCATGTGACTCCTTCCTGGGAAAAACCCCCACACCTTGATCTCCATTCTAATACCACCTTTGGCCTCAGGGAAAAACAAAGCAAAACTCAGTTATAGCTATCGCTCCAGAGCTTTTGGAGATCATCAACTGAAACATCAGATGAATTAGAGTGGGATACATTGCCACTTTCCCTCCTCACATTACAAAAAAAACCCTTTTCTTTCTAGTTGGTGTCCTACATTTCTTCCATCAGATTCTGATGACCTCACTCTCAGGCTTAGCTGCAGCAAGATGGATGCATCATGTATCTTTGGACCATGCCTTTGGACTTCAGTCTTGCTGCTTGAAAACAAAAACAAATAAGCACCATTTCATGTGAGAACCTGTTTGTTTAAAGCAGCTTCCCATACAGCTGAGCCAATTGCCCTGCTCCTTATTGAGAGCATCCACAACCTGCTGCAGAACATGTGAACCTTGACAAGATCCCGTTTTACTGTAATGGGAGTTAAACATAACCCAAAGACTCCATCTGCTGGCCATACAATGTACTCAGTCCAGCACACCAGACTTGTCTCTTCTCTGTCTTAACAGGAGCCCCAGTATTTCCTAACTATAACTCTAATATTTCAACCCCAAAGATATTCCATGAGCAATGAGTCCTGTCAAAATCTATCTAGCAAAATAGGATGCAGCCCACAAAAGTGTGTCTTACAAGAAATTTATTGTTCTATAAGGTGCCATTGGACTCTGTTCCTCTGGAACTACTTACAATAGTAATCTCCTGAGAGGACTTTTACATTTTCCAACAAATATATTTATAAGTTATTTACCATGCCTTTTTTCTTATTAAAATCAAGGTTATTTAACATGTATCAAATACTAAACAAAAACCAATGATAGAAAATGGTGCATGAATTCTGGGAGGCGGAATAGCTTCATTAGCTACTTCTTTGCGAAAGCCACGGTGGGTAGAGGATAATCTAGTTAAAAATGGAAGGAGTCAGAGAAGCTTATCACAGTTTATTGTGGACCCAGTGCTGCATGTCTTTCACACTGTGCACACAGTGTTGTCCTCATCAAAATGCCACACACACACCCATACCCCCCACAACCCAGACTTACCACGTCCACATGTATTTACCATGGATATGATGAATCCAGATTAAACAGGAAAATAATACGGGGCCTGACTTTGATGAGGACATTGTCATGTGCAAAACATAGTGCAAAACATGTTTGCATGAGCAGCACCAAGACCACAGTGAGCTGCTGTGTATGGAGGCACCCAGAGTGTCATATGAAGAGTGTGTGTGGTTGGTGTGCAAAACAAAACAAAAGTTTAGTAAGTGGTTTGTTGAGACCTCCAGCATTTTTCCAGTGCTCTGATAAAAGAATAGTTTGAGAACTGAGGCAGTAGGGTGTCTAGATGCAAAGAAAGGACATCTTTAAATGACTATAAGAAGAGAGAAAGTGCAGCTTGTCATATAGTTACAGGGAACCAGGCAGAGGGCCTTCTCGGTAGTGGCACCCGCCCTGTGGAACGCCCTCCCATCAGATGTCAAAGAGAACAACAACTACCAGACTTTTAGAAGACATCTGAAGGCAGCCCTGTTTAGGGAAGCTTTTAATGTTTGATATATTGTGGTATTTTAATATTTTGTTGGAAGCTGCCCAGAGTGGCTGAGGAAGCCCAGCCAGATGGGCGGGGTATAAATAATAAATTATTATTATTATTATTATTAGGATGGGGAAAAGCTGCTTCATGGTGCATTTCTAAGTTATTGGCACCAACTCGACATTCTCAATATATGTTGCCAGAAATACAACCAGCAAATGACTAGTATCTATAGTAGCTGCTGTGAAATAAGAGAGGAAACACATGTTCTCTTTAGTCCTCTCCTCACAACTTCCCTCATTTTTGCAATTCATCGTAGGCTTTATGTGGGATTGTTGCAGCTTTGACAGTTATTTCTTTTTAATTTGGGTCCTGAGGGTGTCTTTTGATGCTAGGTACATGTGCACTGCCCTTTTCTGAAAGCTTCCATCTCACTGGTCCCTGATTGCTGTTCTAGAATACAGCTGTTAGGTCAACTCTGTGTCACCTTCTCATACCAATGTAGCAACCTGATCAGTTGGTTTGCCACAATTTATAGCATGCTTGTTCCAGGAAATAGCTCCAAAAGGACAACACCACAACTCAGAATGTAGGTGTGTATTCTCAGATCCTGAAAAAAGAAATCCAGATCTGGACAAGAGGAAAGACAGTGTGAATTCTATGGACTTCAGGAGTTCAGTTCAGGTCTTTCCATTTTGGACTTCAGACAGATAATATTTCTTGAGGTGGCAGAATGCCCCGGTTGGAGAAAGGGCATCTTTGTAATGTTGAAGGTGAATACATTTCTCAAGGGTAATCAGTTTTTAGCTCTGTGTTCCTTTAGCTCCTCATCAATCATGGACTTTACAGCTGAGCTTGGGAGGGCGGAAGGGCAGGGGAGAAAGGATGTTATGCGTGGCAGTATTTTGGTACCAAACCTTCTAAGCTTAGTAGGGTGGTGGGGCCCCTCCCGATAACCTGTGTATTGAACATTCATCCCAACGGTGGCCAGCTTTTTTAGTTTCTGTGTTGCATGTTCTCATAGGTGCGAGGTACGATGGTGATGCCACCGTGCCAGCCCAGCCCTGTGCCCTAATTTATGGGGCTGCTGGAAGCAGGGCACCAAAGTACATTGAAAGAGCCAGGCACTTTCACGATTCTCCCTCTCTCTGCTTTTAAAAATTCAGCCATGGGAGAATGAAATCAGAAACGGCAGCCCGGCTGGAGTGCAGAGACGGGCTGTTTAAATTGTTACCTTCCTTTCCCAAAAGCAGGTGATGTGCAGGACTAGGAGAGACATTTGGTTCAGTTCACCTTTAAAGGTGAATCTACCTAATTTATGCCTTCTGAAACAATACATGAAGCAATGCATTGCCGTCTTTTGAAAGCCGCACTTCTCTGAATTTTGCAGTACAATTCTCCAGCCAAGAAAATGCACGTGTTGGTGAAAACAGCATACAAAAATGCACTGCATTAGGGAACACTGCTTTGCAAATATGTGTATATTAGGCAAAGTTGCATATTTCTTAAGAAATGTGCATATTAGGAGAGATTTGTACTCAATTGAAGAAGTTTCATGAGGACTTTTAAAAATTGCCACCTGTCGTGGATATGTGGAGAACTCAGCTTAAGAATAGAAAAACGAGAAACCAACATTGAGTCACCCATTCCTACTTCCCATTTTTGTGAAAATGGAAGTGAAAGTAATCTCTTCTCCTGCCAGCCCTCCACCCCTGCTTTTAGCCTTCTGTGGGTACTTTTCATACCAAAAAAAAAAAAAAAAAAAAAAAGGTAGGAGGAAGAATCATAGCAATGCAGTGCCCAACCCCTGGCCCCAATATACAGAACTGGATTTACTCTACTGGCATCCTAAGAGGCTTTCTGTTTTCCAAATTGTATCTGGCACCTTCCTACCGAGCTAGATGGACACGTGGTCTGCCAATAGGAATTTCCTCTTAAGGCAGTGGGTCTGCCTTGCAACTCCTGAGCTATATGGAGAAAGTGAAAAGGCATAATTTCAAAATGGCTCCTTGATTACATTGGCTAGTGACAGTGGTTTCATATGATGCTTATGAATTGTTCAGTGAAAACGGACCTCGTGCCCCTTGACGTTTTCTCAACTGCACACATCTCCGTTACACAGGGATCCTGCCTCATACAATGTGAATGAGACGATGGAGACCGAGCCTGCCTATTCTGACTTCATCAGCTGTGACCGGAGCGGCCGGAGAAACGCAATACCCGACCTTCAAGGAGACGCAGCTGCTCTTAAACTGGAGAAACTGGCAAGCACCATGGAGGATATCGCTATTGCAGGGGATGGTGAGTCCCTCTTTGCCCAAGTCCAACCTGAGCTGCTTCTCAGGCAGCTGATCTAATCAAGAAGCTCAGATGAACATGTTCTCTGCAAAATACACAGGGCTTATCTAAATCACTGCACAATGTATACCAGTTGCATCATGTAATGCAGATGGGACATAGGTATATGCTACTAACATCCAACTTCTCACACTTCTTAACACGTTGCTGAAGAGCTAGCATTCTGCTGGTACCACTGAACCATTGGCAATAGCCACACTAGCTTTATTTGCTAAATAAATCAATTTCCATCAGATCCAATTCACACAACTCTCTGTTTGATCCTTTATTTTTACAGAAAACCAAGATTCGGCCGATGCTACCGAGAAGGAATCTGGACTGACTCCTAAGAGCGAAGACGGCAGCCCGACCTTGTGAGAGCTCTGATTTAGGCTGCGGAAGGGTGGATGACAACAACTGCGGCTCTTCCATCTGTTAAGAAACCAAATTGCAATAAGGAGTCCCCACTTAAAGGTTTCTGCCATGGCCATCTGGCTCTTACAGTCACTTTCTGTGGCAGCTGGTACCTTCAGAGAACTGTCTCTCTCTCACTCTGCAACACTACACACCAAGAGATGTTTAGTGACTTGAGCCACTCAGAGAGCCTTTTGGCAACTATCTTCCTGTATAGGAAAAACACAATTTCAGTAATAATATATAGACTTCAGATTTTATCGTACAAGGTACATTTTGCTCACACAATAAACTATTATTTATTCCTATCTCCCTGTAGATTGTTAGGTGACTTGTGGTATCTATCTCACTTGTGCACATGTTGCATCTCAGAAGTACTGATATTTTTTGGGCTGTGAACATTGGTGAAGAGAAGTATGGGACATAATCCGCCAGCCACTTCTCCAACATGAACGCCATTGAAACCAATGAAGTTTGGTTCTTTTGTGGCATAAGGGCAGGTGCAGCCTTGCACAACACTAATTCAGTTCAGTGGCAATTCCACAGGAAGTGTTCTCCATGAAAGAGGCACCAGTGACATACCACTTCTGCTTACGTCGCTGCTTCTTTCTGGTATGCAGAAAATAGGATTTCAGAGGCACAAACCAGTGGATTCAAAAATTGGTTTAATTGTGTGTGCTAAAAAGAGAAGGCAGCACTACTTCAAGCTAACTCATAAGCAAGTTCTAGAGTTCCAATGCCTCTGGTAAATTGTTGCATTCTCTGTTAAGAGTTGTATCTTGTGGTGAAACTTGTATGCAGATCCATAAACCTGTTGTCCCCCCACCCCAGCAATTAAAACTAAATGAGTTCTTCGTTCATGTGTTTTGCTCTTTTCTAGCACTTTATGCCCCAGAATTGCAGGGTTTTCATTTGGTCTTATAACCAGTGCTTTTTTTCTTAAATAAATATTTAGGGGTACTCTCATTTTCCTACTCATATTGAAATACTGCCCCTCAATGAGGCCAAACTTAGAATCACAAAATGTTTAGGGGTATGCGTACCCCCTGCATACCCCCAGAAAAAAGCATCACTTTTAACCCAGTCTTAACTATGAGTGTGCCAGAAAACGTTTGCGTTAATTGGAGCACCCCAATTCCTGTGCCAGTATAAGTTACTGCTGCAGTGCTGCAGGGACAGATATTTACGATCGGAGTTGTTGTTGTTTAGTCATTTAGTTGTGTCCGACTCTTCGTGACCCCATGGACCAGAGCACGCCAGGCACTCCTGTCTTCCACTGCCTCCCGCAGTTTGGTCAAACTCATGCTGGTAGCCTTGAGAACACTATCCAACCATCTCGTCCTCTGTCTTCCCCTTCTCCTTGTGCCCCCCATCTTTCCCAGCATCAGGGTCTTTTCCAGGAAGTCCTCTTCTCATGAGGTGGCCAAAGTATTGGAGCCTCAGCTTCAGGATCTGTCCTTCCAGTGAGCACTCAGGGCTGATTTCCTTAAGAGTGGATAGGTTTGATCTTCTTGCAGTCCATGGGACTCTCAAGAGTCTCCTCCAGCACCATAATACAAAAGCATCAATTCTTTGGATCGGAGTACAGACAGCCATGTCTATCCATGGAATATGGCAGGATTCTCAAACTGGCCTCTGGGGGGCATTAAAGCACTGGTCTATGTGTGCACACCTCAAGCAGGGTGGGGTGGAAATGGCAGCTGGCTGCCCCCTCACAGCAAGAGGATTTTAGCTGTGTGAGTGTGGCAATCTAAGAACAAAAGAACTTTGTTGGATCAAACCCAAGGCTATAGCCCAGCATTGTTTTGCCCAGCAGACAATGAGCACCACATGATAGCCATAGCCCTCTCCTGCTGCTGGTATTCAGAGACATACTGCCTTGATTATATACTAGTACTAGCCATTGAATATCTTGTTCATCCATTTGTCTAATCTCATTTTAAAGCCATCTTAAATTGTTGGCCATCTCCACCACAGTCTATAGAAGTGAATGTTGTTGTTTAGTCGTGTCCGCCAGGCACTCCTGTCTTCCACTGCCTCCCGCAGTTTGGTCAAACTCATGCTGGTAGCTTCGAGAACACTGTCCAACCATCTTGTCCTCTGTCGTCCCCTTCTCCTTGTGCCCTCCATCTTTCCCAACATCAGGGTCTTTTCCAGGAGTCTTCTCTTCTCATGAGGTGGCCAAAGTATTGGAGCCTCAGCTTCAGGATCTGTCCTTCCAGTGAGCACTCAGGGCTGATTTCCTTAAGAATGGATAGGTTTGATCTTCTTGCAGTCCATGGGACTCTCAAGAGTCTCCTCCAGCACCATAATACAAAAGCATCAATTCTTCGGCGATCAGCCTTCTTTATGGTCCATATAGAAGTGAATACCACAGATTAACTCTGAGCTGTAGGAAGTTCTTCCCTTTGTGTGTCCTGAATCTATTCCCATTCAGCTTCACTGGATAATCCTGGATTCTGGTTATTATCAGGGAGAGCATACAAAAAAAATTCTATATTTTTTCCATACTATGCATTAATTTTATACAACTGTCTGTCATGTCTGTCCATACACTTCTAAACTAAGCAGCTCTGGACATTGTAATATTTCCTCATAAGAGAGTTGCTGATCATTTTGGCTGCTCTGTTCCAGTTCTACATTCTTTCTTTCTAAAAATATATATTAAGTTTTCAAATTACAGTTCTCAAAGAAAACACCATTGCCATATGTAACACAGGAACAGGGTTGGGGTGGAGATAAAAGGAGGAAAGGGAGCAGAAGAGAAAAAATGGAAAAGGGGGGGTCAACAGGACAACATTCATTCACACAAAAAAGAAAACACAGAAAATCTGACAAATATGGCTGTTGTTAAGGGATGGGATGGGATAAAAGGAGATGTTTACAGTTATGAATTTAAGAAATTATTTCTACATTATTTTGAGATAAGACCCAAATTGTACACAGTGTCAAATACACACAGTCTACTGGCTCACTCCTATCCATATGAACTCACTCAAAATAATTCTAAAGGTTTACTGAGACTGGCTGGACTTACCATTGCGGAAGCCTTGCTGATTCTTCTTCAACAAGGCACGTTCTCCTAAATGCTTGATAATTTTTGTCTTTCATATCTTCCAGTAATTTAGACATTAGGCTACTGGGTATGTAATGTTTTACACACACACACCCCCTCCAGATCCACTGTAAAATTGGTGTTACATTGGCAGCTGTCCAGTCCTCTAGTACATTAGGCCAAATGACACATTTCTGTTAGATTAGCAATCCACATATGCTTTTAAAACACTTGGGTGGATACCAGCGATGTGTTAATTTTTAATTGACCAGTAATTCATTTAACTTCATCTATTGCCAACACTATTTGTGTCAGCTCTTCAGACCTACTTCCTGAAGAAGTCAGATCAGGCTATCTACCTCAGGCGTAGGCAAACTCGGCCCTCCAGATGTTTTGGGACTACAATTCCCATCATCCCTGACCACTGGTCCTGTTAGCTAGGGATCATGGGAGTTGTAGTCCCAAAGCATTTGGAGGGCTGAGTTTGCCTATACCTGATCTACCTCAATTCTTCCATGGTTAAATCTGACTCAAGAGTTGGAGTGGGACTATTAGATCATCTAATACAACTGCCTACTCAATCCAATCTCTCTCAGTAACATGCCAGTCACTACTCCTCCTTCCAGAAAGCCAAGAGGCTTTGTGTTACCTCTTTCAATAAGAAACCAGTCTCTGCCCTTTCTCCTTGCCCTTTAATTGGGGTGAAGATTTAGAGGGTGGTGTCAATAAGGAAGAGCTTTCTGGGACATAACCAACAGCAATTACCCTGTTCAGCAAAATGAGTTTTCCTGTTTCAGTCTCCTATGCAAACCCACATTGAGGGAAAAGAGGGACAGTAGGTCATTCACTAGTAACTGTGATATCACAGGAGACATGCTAAACATAGTGCTTCTAGCCTGTTAAGTATGCCTGGGTTAAGTATTATATTTAGCCAAATCCCCTGTGAGCTGGTTCCAAGCTACTTCAGCATGAAGTTTCAGTGAGGAGTTAACATATGAAGAACATTTGCCAATGGTACTGAAATATCATGCTCTTTTAAGTCATGTAACATCCTGTTTTCCAAAGGCACTGAATGACATGCAGCCATTTATTATATCCGGGTTATATAGTATTTCCTAGTTCCTTACTATATAAGTTGGCAACCAAAAGTTGATGGATCTTGCATATGTAGCTGTATATAAAGATGCGAATATTCAGTTTCAGACTTCACAGAATCATACAACTGTAGAGCAGGAAGGGTCCTTGAGGGTTATCTAGTCCAATTCCCTGCAATGCAGGAATCTCAACTAAAGCATACATGAAGGATGACCATCCAACCTCTGCTTAAAAGCCTCCAATGGAGAATCCACCACCTTCCAAGGCAGTCCTGTAACTTGTCTGTTGGCTTGCATTACATTGGCCTCCCAAAGCACCATGTTACCTGCTGGAATATTTGGTGATGCAGTGACCATTCAAACTCTTCTAAGTTTTATCTGCTCTATCTATTGACAACCACTTGGTCCCCCTTGTAAGATGTTTCCCTTTGACTGATGTCCTTTTTGGACAAAAGATTCAAAGCAAATTCCAAAACTGATTGGATTATTTCAGGCCAATCTAGATAAGAACAAAGGAAGTTGCCTTATACGACGGCTGGACCAAATATCCCACTCATCTTTCATAGGACCCTTCGTTCCCTGGTGAAAGTTAGATGGTATAAGTGATTGGGGAGTGGGGCAGGCAAAAAAACTAAACAAAACTTAAGGCAGGACTGAGCTTACTTTAAAGATGAGGTGGCCCATTTATTTATTTTTAAGAAACAAAAAGCAAAGTTGCACCGTTGCTTCAAGCAGTGGCTTAGCAGTCTGGCCTTTCTGTTGGGGGTTTATGCCCCAGGGAAATGATACATCATGATATAGCATCTTCCCAGGATCATTCTTTTGGGGTGTGGGGAGAGAAATGGCAGCTCTCATTAGGACCTCAGGCAATGAAGGATCTTCCTCATTACCCCCTTTTTCACTGGAAATGCCAGGGCTATCCACCTATGGATTCTTTCTAAGTAAAAAGAATCCCCGAGAGTCTGTAGTTGTGGAATAATGACATGGAAACAGTATGTGCAGCGCTGTTTAACCCTTTTCTTCCTTCCCTCCCCCAGTTGCTTTCCTGTACTCAAACTCACAGCTTTTGATTTCTATTTTTTAAAAAAAAGCAGCTGCAACAGCCAGCTGCTGGGGAAGAGGCATGCAATTGGGTGTCACATGTAATTTGGCCTTGAGAAGCATGAAGAACAGTAGCACAAGTTCTTGTTTCTTCTGTGTTATGTAGCCACGCATTGGCACTCTTAAGTGGATGTCTAGCCCACAGTTCCTTCATTACAGTTAATTTTGCCCATCCAGCTGCCTTAACAGGTTTCATAGCTACTGCAGTCCAGGTGGAATCCAACTGGACATCCCTCCATCCCCTTGTTCCACCAAGTGACAGTACCTGCCTTTGAGATAAAATCACAACATTTCTAGTTTTGTTTTTTAATTGAATCACATCTTGCAGACTTGGGCTTGAAATCAACAACAACAGTGACATATGCATATAGTTAAAATGGAATTTATTTCATTAAACCAAAATAAAAATTCTCCTTTGTTCTTCAGGATGTGAACAACATAAGAAAAATTTATAAGGATAACTTTTCATTGACATTATAAAAATAACAAAATAATTCCTATATATATATTCTTGGTTATACATAAGACATTATAGTTTACATTCAGAACTTATTTTTGGAGACAAGCACTATGCAAGGCTCAGTCTCTCTTTCACATGCGACCCCGTGACATCAAAGCCATTCATCAGAGGCATATTTTTGGTGTCTGAAGCTTTGTAATACCAGCCTATATAACCACCGAAATATGGCATTGTATGATTTCCTCAGCTGTGTTTATGAACTTTTAAAAACATTGTAAACCTAAGCCTATATCACTATTATATAGAATAATTAGTAGTACAGCATCAGAAATACAGTGATATACAGGCTCTGGGTCATGCAGACTTAGGTTCGCATGTACCACTTGTTATCTCTGATAGCAATAAGCCCTGCTTGCATTGTGATGAAAGCAAAGATGTGTGTCATTCCTATGTCCTACAAAACTAACACTTCACGGCCACACTTAAGACAAAAAAGGGGCCACTAGTCCCAGCAATGTCAAGAGCTACTTGGTGATAAGCTCGAACAGACAAAGGGCTCTGTGAAGAGCTTTCCTTTCACAAAGAAACAGTGTTTAAAGCAAGTCCAGCTCCTTGATATAGATTCTTTTCATTTTTTAAAAAAGCATAAAGATATGTTCGTTTTATAAAGGGCCTCAGTCTCATTTTCAGCTCAGGGTAGAAGCCTACAATAAGCCTCCATTTGTTGTGAACAGTTTAATACACATTTAGATTGTGCGCCAGCCATGTTCACAAGTACGTCAGTCCAGAAATGTTAAACTAAGATAAGAAATCCTGCTCTGTCGATAGAAAAAACACACGATTGTGTGAATTCACTTTTGTGTGGCTGAAGACATGTGTCTCTGGACCAAGCCAGATTTATATCAAGTGCACAGCTGTTACTGAAAATGGTAACTGAGGTTTTAGGCACCACCCTCCTGTCCATGACATCTAGAAGAACTCAACTGCATTCTGATGTCACAACGCCACTTCATGTTGTTGGCTGCCACTTGGAAGTGGGCAGAAACATGGTGTGTCGTGATCAAATCAGTAAGTTCTATTAAACATTATGGAAGGGGAGCTAAACATGTGCTTGCAGCAGATGCACTTTTGCTAGATTATCTGTTTGTGCCCTCAACAACTATTCCTTATGAATGAAGCACAAAGGTAAAATAAATAAAACCTGGGTATTTTAACATATGCTGAGCCACTGCACAAACTATTCATGCTCTACTACTGAAAGCACCTTGAGGCATCTTTAGAGGTGCACAAATGCTGTTCACTTTTCTAGAAATCTGATAAAATTACATAATTTAAAAGATCCACTTTAAATGCTGCTCTGTTCATGTAAGAGGGGAGCAAATATTGCCAACTCCTTCCTCCATCTGCAGCCCCACAACGTATCTCACAACACATCCAAGGCTCCCCAGTCCCTAGATATGCAGATATGCAAAGGGAAGGGAGAATCAAGAAATCCCTGTTCTATGAACTCTGTTCTGTTCACGGAAAGAATAGAAGTTCAGATCAAAGCACATGTATTTGGGAGTTTCAAGTTCCAGAGTGGAAGATTTCCGTGAGTCTAGGAGACAGATTCTGTAGTACATTCGTCTTATCCTTGCAAGTACAAGACTTCCAGGTTCCTTATAATGAAATACAAGGACAAAAGGATCTGCTCAGATACATGGAGACTTTGTGGATATTTTTAAAAGATTCTCCAACAAATGAGTACGTATTTCTAAAAGATGCAAAATAGAATATTATAATCACTAGGAGAAATCCCACAAATGTATGCAAGATGAGGCCTCCTGGCATGGTGATGAAGTATTACTTTGATTTGGATACTATATTTTATATTTCTGCAAAAGACCACTGACATGTGGTTTTTAAGGTATTTACTTACAGACTGACCATAACTTGGTTAAACCAAAGTATTTGCATAAGTCAAATCAGTTCCATGGATCGGGGGGGGGGGAGTGTGCATCAAAAGACCATGAAGTTCAATTCCAGAAATTCAGCCTAACTGGTTTGTGTACCAGGCAGTTGAAAACCTACCAGATAACTTAGCACCATTAGCTAAATTTACCATACTGTTGGTAACAGACAAGAAAAAAACATTATGCTATATAAAACAGAGCTTAGTCAAAAATGCTAGTTAAAAAGGGCAGCAGTTCCAATAGCGTAGGCAGCAGACAAAGCAAGTGTACTGGAATAAAGGAGCTTGCTTCTTTTGCAAATCAATCCTTTTTAAAGTGCTGTGTTGTTCTTTTCAACATACACAGCTTAAGACATCTTGGACAAATCTAATTTGGGGAAAGGCAAGATGCTGAATCTGGACTACAGTAATTTGCCCCAATTCGGCAGCGATCCCTTGCTATATTGGGACCTATATGAACAGATCAGATGCATGTGACTCAGAAGAGTCATTCAAGGTGATCACCATTGACACTCTCTTCTGGATAGTGATGCACGCTCCCAGCATTCCTGAAATACAGGTAGGAACTGTTATCTTCCAGGTGCACTCAACAATCCTTGGATCAGAACCACTATTCTTTAAGTATTAGCTCCAAAGAATTTGATGACATTTAAGTAAGTTTTAGTTGGTATTAAGGCCAAGCAGAATCAAGGAAGGAATAAACCCAGCCTATGACTGTGTCAAACAATCAGACAACCAGGGATAAAGTGAAATACTCATTTCTATCAGAGATTCCCCACTAAAAGATGTTAAACATCTGAAAAAACTCAGTTGTGATTCTCTCTGTTTCAAGTGTATGGGCATACAGAAGACAAATTACAGAGAAATCTCAGTAAGGCCAGAGATAAGTTATAGCTTTCAAGAGAGAGAGGGAAATGGTTTGAGAGATGCTTTGCTTCCCCGCTGTATATACACATTCTTTTGTCTCTCTGTCGCTTCTGGTCAACTAGGTTCTTGAAATAATCCAGTCTCTAAAACCTGCTTCTACTTTGGCAAACAGAGGTAAATTCAGCCATTACAAGAAGCAACCCCTCCTCCAAACTTTCCAGTCTCTGAAAAGATTATTGTCTTTAGTCTAAAAAAAACCAAACATGTAAACTCATAGCACCCATCTTATTTATGGGATCTGGGTGCTCTAGGCAAATATAACACAAACATTGTAGGAATACTGTTCTTTATATATACTGTATGCCCCACTCTGTGGATGGTAATAGTAAACAAGATAGTAACACAGTACTAAGTTTGTGCGTTGTCTTCAAAGAAACAAAATGGAGGTCTCTGACTACCATGAAGTTGTCAGGAAAAGAGGTCACGAGTAGATGGCATCATATGGATCAGAACTCTGTGCTTTGTACCATCCCATAGGCTTCATACAGCTTGTAGAGAAGCTCCTTTTTTTCTTTCTCTGGCAAGAAGCTAGACTTGGCAGCATTTATGTTCTGCGAAAATTGGAACAAACACAGAAGTGAAGCTCAGCAAGTAGAATATTCTGCTTGTGTCTTAGTATGCATTACTAGCCAAGTCTAAGTGAAAGTAATGGATGCAGTTTCCAACCCTACATTTTCAGCTTTTCGTTAAGTGGGAAAATGACAGCCTTTTAAAAACAGTCTTTAGGCTTTGATCACTTAGCTGGGATTAAGTCCCGCTACTCCTGATTAGACATGCAAAGTGGAGCACTTTAAGAAGCACACACAGTCATATTCCAGAGATCTAGTAATCAGTTGATGCAACACTGTGTTATGCCAAGTGAGAGCAATGATCCATCTATCTATCAGGACTAGTGAGGGCTCTATGGAATCAAAGGTAGCATTTCCCCAGCGCTGCTCCTACCACAGAACTTTTAAGTAGAGATTCCAGGGATTAAAGCTGGGACCTCCAGCATGCAAATTAGTATTACCAGATTTTACTACCACTACTACAAAGCTTCTGTAATCACGGTCACACTCAAGGAATGGAGTATTAGAAATCAGAGAGGTTCCTGCTGGGAAAATCAAAGTTTCAATCACTTGGCCCACTTCTCATTCCAGCGGCCCACCATCACTGCCACCAGCTCCCAGGGAAACCTAAGTGTGCAGAAATGCACATGGTTCTCTCCTTTCAGTTGTCCATGCCTAATATACAGATGTCGGGGCTGCAGCAGGGGAAAGCTGTGCGACAAAGCAGTACAGCCCTGCTCCCTGATGGGATGGGGGATATGCATTGGCTTATAAATTAAGGACCCATTAAAAGTCAAACAAATGTTTTCCTTGCCTGACCAATTTTATGCCTTTGCTGGTCATTCCTATGCTATGGGACATGTCCAAGTTGCCAGTGTTAGGGTTCTGAGTTTTTAATACCTTCCTCATTACAGCTACAGTGGTACCTCTGGTTACGTACTTAATTCGTTCCGGAGGTCCGTTCTTAACCTGAAACTGTTCTTAACCTGAAGCACCACTTTAGCTAATGGGGCCTCCTGCTGCCGCTGGAGCACGATTTCTGTTCTCATCCTGAAGCAAAGTTCTTAACCCAAGGAAATATTTCTGGGTTAGCGGAGTCTGTAACCTGAAGAGTATGTAACCTGAAGCATATGTAACCCGAGGTACCTCTGTACAAAGGTTTATACTTCTCTTTTGTTCTCATATTACTGTCTGTGTCAAAATGACTTCAGGTCTGGGGCATTATGCAGGGATCATAGACAGGAACAAGTGGACTCCCAACCTGTCCTCATGGGGTGACCCTTAGCGGTAAGGGCTCACATTTCAACCTCTTTAAACGGCTGGGTGGTACCTGCCACATCTCCTGGTTAGTCTCCGTAGGTGAGAGAAGCAGACTATGAGCTGCCCTATGTTAGTGGCCTTCTTCCCCCCAAACTCCTTACCTGCCAGGCTGGTGTGAACCACTGGCAGCAAACCATGGTGATGCACAAAAGTTGGAGCCTTGTGGGCTTATTGTTCAAAACTAAAATACTGCTCTGAGAGCGCAGCAATGCAAGCAATAGATGGTTCCGTGTTTTGACTTCCAGAAGCAGTTTAACTGCTGATCTCTGGAAGCAAGAACCTATCACCTCATTTTTTGTAAAGTGCCAGATATGTTGGTAGTGCTGCTACATAAATAACATGTCATATGCTGGCTTGTTGGCTAAACGGTGTGGTGACTCAGCACTCTCTTTCCTCCTGACATGTAATGTGCCTGCCAAGATGAGTCAACATTTCTCCAGAGAGATTGTAAATGGAGATTGTTTTTCCTGGCTTGTAGTGAAACTGAGCACTTGTCTCCATTTGTATGCCTTGTGCCTTTGTTTTCATAAGTCAAACCCTAATATATTTTTTGCATACCCACATGCTTTCTTCCTACTTGGTTTTTCCTTTTTATGGGCACAGTATTTAAAATAAACAATTATATCCAGGCTCCCACATACCAAGTCAACAAGGCTCTTGGGGTGAATGGGCAGATATGTGCCCATTTTTTAAAAAATGACTAAGCAAAGAACTGACAGTTCTGGAAAAGAAGGAAGACGGGCTGAATGGCTGGGTAAGTAGAAATTCAGCTAAAAATTGTTTCAAGAATGGGTGAGGAAACACTCCAGCTATGAAGTGGGGAGGAGGACAATGGCTGCAATAAAGGACACTGTGTCCTGTAATAAGCACTTGAATGAGTTTATATAGAATTACTCTTCTCAACAACTCCTTAATGAGCTAAGAAGCACTCCATTTCCTGGTTATTTTATTATCTGAAGTAAGGAGCTAAATCTATCAATCAGAGCATGGGTTGAAGTGCATCAGTGCTTTACACAATGACAAAGTTTATGAACATATGCAGATACAGATTGTGAATTAAGATGTCCATTTACAAAGCAGTAACCTTTCTGCAATGGTCTTATGATTATGTGGTGAGCTGACTGACTACTGCGCCTGTCTATATGGCATTAAGAATCTCACCATACCTCTACAATCTAGAGTTGTGATTTGGTGCAGGTGTGGGGTACAATTCACGGAAATGGACAGGCTGCAGTTGTGGCTCTATGCCCATTATGGTGAGCTCCTATAAGGCCATTTCTGTTTTGGAGAAGTAACTTTGAGAAGATTTACTTTGGCTGCAGATCGAAGCACAGCTTAATTGGAAGTAAGCTATTCTTTCAAAGCAAAGATGTTTAGGATCAAGCACAACCAATGCAAAAAACCGAAACTAATTTACCAGCCTCTTGAATTCTTCCTCAGTGAAGCCCATGCAATCACGAGCTATTTTGTAATCCGTGTTAACTGTGGAGTTGAAAATGAGTGGATCATCCGTGTTCAAGGAATAATTTGCTTCATCTTTCATAAACCTGAAAAAAGCAGAATTGAAAGAACATCAGGGTTTTTTTAAGAGTATAATTTGCATTTTCCTCATGGGGAAAAATATAGTGAAGCCTGTTTTCTATCCCACTTGTATTGAACCTCCTAGACAATTTCCATTAAACTACAGTCCAAACACCAAATATACTTTTTATTTATTTTTCACTGTACAGTCATACCTTGGGTTACAGACGCATTGGGTTGCGCGATTTCAGGTTGCGCATCGTACCGAACCCAGAAGTACCGGAACGGGTTACTTCCGGGCTTCGGCGCTTGCGCAGAAGCGCTAAATCGCGACCTGCGCATGCACAGATGCAGTGCTGCGGGTTGTGAACGTGCTTCCCGCACAGATCACATTCGCAACCCGAGCGTCCACTGTACAATAATGTGACATGATACAACACATTTCAAGTAATCCGCAGAAAATATCACAGGGGGAGAAATCACTAAAAAATGTTTTATCATACATCAAATCATATTAAGTTTTCTCAGATCTTAAGAATAATATAAGATCCAATGTATATTTTCTTGTCATACTGTGTTACTTTTCTTTGTTATAGAAAAGACAAATTAGATAAAGTGCTAACTGAATGCTCTAGAAGGCAGGCGGCTTTCTCAGAAGTGGCACCCTCCCTGTGGAACAGCCTTCCTTCAGATGCCAAGGAGATAAAGAACTACACAACTTTTAGAAGACTTCTGAAAGTAGCCCTGTATCAGGAAGTTTTAAATGCTTGATATTTTATTATGTTGCTATATATGCTGTAAGCCACCCAGAGCAGCTGGGAAAACCCAGCCAGATGGGCAGTGTATAAATAATAAAATTATTATTATTAGATGGCAAACTGGGAGGCTTAAACCTCATGGCTCGCCTCAGTATTAGGATTTGAGCTGATAACTGGGTAGTGATTTTGATCCAATAAGTGAGAAGCAATGTCAGAATAATTAAATAAAAAAAAACCCCAACCCAAATCCTTACCTTACTAATGGATGTTTACTGAAGCTGGTTGGGCATGCACTAGTGAGGTGACTAGACCAAGGGCAGATCTGTATATTTATATAAAAAACAAAACAGAATCAGTACACATCCCCTTTAAAATACCTATGTTCATAACTCAGAAATGCTGGGCAGTGGCTGTCAGTGAAGGGAGAATATACTGAGCTGGATGGACTAATGGTCTGCCTTGATACAAGGCAGCTTCCTCTGTTAATATCAACTGCAGCTATTATCTGGTTCACGTAACAGAGTTGGAGACTTGAAAGACATTCCATTACCTCGAAATGCATATTTTCTTTCAACAGCCGTTTATATAGACTTTCATCTTCCAAGACATGGTAGCCATGGCCAATTCGCTCTGCCTTTAGGATGTTGACTGCCTATAATGAAAGACGGGGTGGTGGGAATGTAGAATCAACTTTTTGCTAATTAGGTTACTCTTGATTGCACAGTTCACGATAACTACAGCCCACAGCATTAAAGTGAGAGCAGCTCTATAAATTGTTTTGAGCTATTACTCCTATTATATAAGGTATACTTGTCACAATCTGCTAAAAGCTTATTTATAATAATAATAATAATAATAATTTATTATTTATACCCCGCCCATCTGGCTGGGCCTCCCCAGCCACTCTGGGCGGCTTCCATAGAAACCAAAAATACACTAAAATATCACACGTTAAAAACTTCCCTGAACAGGGCTGCCTTAAGATGTCTTCTGAATGTCAGGTAGTTGTTTATCGCTTTGACATCTGCTGGAAGGGCGTTCCACAGGGCGGGCGCCACTACCGAGAAGGCCCTCTGCCTGGTTCCCTGTAGCTTTGCTTCTCGCAATGAGGGAGAAACACAGCCATACTATGTATGGCACAGGCCTTCTGGAGACCCCCCAAAACCCTTGGATTGTAATATTTAAAAAAGTGGGAGTGTATGGTTTAGTTTGTCATTACATGAACAAGCACTGGGCTCACACATTCCTTCCTCTCTTTATGATCTCCAATGCACTGTCTTTTGCAAATAGCAATAGTTTTCTTACCTGAAAGATTAAGCTATGTAGCTTGCACTCAAATCACAATCAAATTCGAGAGATGGGTGGAAGACAGAAATTAAACACCTGGTATAACTTTTTTTGTCTTTTTACAGAAGTGGGTGCAGCTCTGTTTGCCTCTCCTGAGTGGATTACTCCTGTGAAATTACACCACACAATGGTGGCTTTTTTTTTTTTTTAAAGGAACAGTTTATAACTGTTTTGATCTTTTGTAAGAATTAGATGAAACATACATGCATGTTTGCCCCTTGTGAGGAGACGAATCCCACCAAATCTCAGAAGGGTAGCTGCAGCCGTCTTCTTGCAAGGGCAGCTCTTACAGTTTGGGGTGTGTGTAACAAAAAAGAGAGGAATCATTTAGTCTCCCTTAGCATCCTGTGGTCTGAAAATTGCAGATATGAGAGGTGGCTCTAGGGAAAAGTATCAAAATTGCACACAAATCGGTCTAGCGATTTTTGAACTAGGCACCTTTAAAGTTGAATGGAAGGGAGAAAGAACTAAATAGGATTCACTTTCCACCCTCAAGACGCTGGAAATGGAGAGTCTAGGTAAAATTGTTCCCTCTGATTACAAACTTGACCTATCAGTCACAACAGAGCTCTCCTTTCTCCCTCTCCCCCATTGTTCAAATTGTACATTCTACAGTTTGCTGTATATTCAGTGTCAATTGTCAGCTTTTCCAATGACACAACATCCTTTTTTTGTTTGTTTGTTCTGCAGTACAACTTCTTACCTCCTTGACAACCTTGGGTGGCCCAACCTCACCAGCATGAACAGTTCGGTGAATGCCACATCTTTCAGCTTCCTGAATAAAAGGAAACACAAGGAAGAGAATAAAAACTGACTGGCAAATGCTAGAGATCCATAGAATTTCTCAAGGTAGCATTTGCTACTTTATCTTTCTTTGGCTGTAGTCTAAGCAGAGCTGCTAAAAACTGGAATATGCACAATAGAAAAATCTGCTTAAAATTGGTATTTCTCCCAAAGAGGAAAATTTGTTATTTTATTAAAATACATGTAAAACTAAAGATTGTCACTTTTTGCTTCACAACAATCATGATAAAATGTGTATCAAAATACCACTTAATGCCAAAATAGGCTCAAAGTGGTTTACAAAATATAAAAAACACAATAAAAAACACAATTACAGCATTGTTAAAATACACAATAAAACCATTCCATTAAAACATAAACATGTGGAATTAAACTATGCAAAAAAGCTCCTTGGAGATTAAAACAGGAGACTGCTTGAAAGTTCTTGGGCACGTCTTCAAATGCTGGTGGAATAACTTTATTGTAACCGAAGGTAACAATGATACCAAGATTTTTCAATAAGCCTAGCAGCAGTACATTTCCTTCCCTATCTCCTTCCCACTTTTACATGTTATGGCACCATTCCTCCACTCTTTCCAGGCATGGTCTGTGCTTTAAATCTTCGTGTCTGAGCACACGCACACCCTCCGAGTTTTCCCTGCAGAAGCCCACTCTTTAAATCTTAATGGGAGGAAACGGCAAAACATGGAAAACAGAGGAAGCTGTGCAGGTTGCAGGGCAGTGGGAAATGCTCAGACAAAGAGGTTTTAAGCTTGGATCTGTGCCTAGAAAGACTAGGGCAAAAGGTAAGCGTGGACAAGCTTTTAGTCTGGAGGAAAATGTATTTCTCACACCCCCAAGAGTCTTAAGTCTTTCACAGAAGCGCCTAGCATCAGTCGGTGGCACCCAAGAGTCCTTGGCTAAAACTGGTGGAGCAACTGTATACCCTCTAACCCTATGTATAACTGTTCACATGGTTGATAAAAAAAATCCAGCAAAAGCATATTAATTTATACCTGAGTGAATTTACAGAGAGGAGTAACTACACCAATCTTCTATTTGGAAAGGTTTAGCCAAACATTTCTTATCTCTAGTCTGTCTGTGACTGAAGGTTTGCTAGCAGTTGGGATTAGGTTCTCGTACCTGTAGACCAGTCCCGTTTTAATAAAAAGATGTAGCAAGTTTTACATGAGTGCATAATAATAAAACCCTGGAATGGGAGTCTTATATGTTGTTCTTCTCAGATTGCATGTAAGGCAGGCACTGAGGGTTTTGAACTACCCAGCTCCCCCCAATCCTGTTCTTTTGGCTCCTTACTCATATCATCTGAACAAACCTCATAAGCCTTCCGATGATCTGGGTAGGTCTCAGCATTTATCAACTCATCGCCAGCTAAGTCTATAGCAACCACTGTATCATTCTTATACTTCTTACACAGTTCCACCACTTCCAGTGACCAGCCTGGAAAGAAAAGCACAACAATCTTGTAAGGATACAGCTGAGTTTCTGCAGCTGCCAATGACATACACACACACACACACACACACACACACACACACCCCATGTATAGGAAAATATTTGTCATACAAAAACATCACTTTGTTTTCTAGAGTTTCCCTCCTTTGACAAGGCCTTCTGAGAAGATCAGGCAATTGTTGGTAAGGTAAAAAGGTAAAGGACCCCTGGACGGTTAAGTCCAGTCAAAGGTGACTATGGGGTTGCAGCGCTCATCTTGCTTTCAGGCCAAGGGAGCCGGCATTTGTCCACAGACAGCTTTCCAGGTCATGTGACCAGCATGACTAAACCGCTTTTGGCACAATGGAACACCGTGATGGAAGCCAGAGCGCATGGAAATGCCCACCTTGCTTTGATAGAGAACAATTAAAAAAACACACACCATGGTTCTATAGAAAGCACATTATGCAGGCCACTAAGCTATCCAGAATCAGAGAAAAATACAAATCCTAAAATGGTCTCCTGTGAAAAAAGTAAACTTGCAACAATAGCTATTTTTACAAAAGCTGTGAAGTCCGGAGGTCAGGAGTTCAGAGAATGCCAAGCATCTTGTTAGGTGTGATTTAATTGGGTCAGCTGCCAGACAAAATAGAAAGCAAATATAAGCCTCTTCTAAAATACAGTGGTGCCTCGCAAGACGAAATTAATCCGTTCCGCGAGTGTCTTCGTCTAGCGGTTTTTTCGTCTTGCGAAGCAACCCTATTAGCGGCTTAGCGGATTAGCGCTATTAGCGGTTTAGCGGCTATTAAAGGCTTATCGGCTTAGCGGATTAGCTGCTAAAAGGCTATTAAAGGCGTAGTGGCTTAGATAAAGGGGGGGGAAAGCGAAAAAAAATCTCAAGACTCACAAGACATTTTCGTCTTGCAAAGCAAGCCCATAGGGAAATTCGTCCTGCGAAGCAACTCAAAAACGGAAAACCCTTTCGTCTAGTGGGTTTTCCATCTTGCGAGGCATTCGTCTTGCGGGGCACCACTGTACTGAGGACATCTTAATAGTGTGTGTATGAGAGGATGGGGAGGAAGATTTGCGTTATAATTGCAAACATTGCTGGAAAGCAGTTTCTGCCAGAACCCTTTCCATTTCTTGGTTTTCAGCAACTCTAGTTATGATTTCATAGAAAACTGTAAGTTTGGCATGCAACCAAACTCAGCAAACACTCTGGATGCACCATGATTTTTTTAAAAATCTAGAATCCCATCAATTATTGCATTACTCTACTCACTCCTTCGTGCATGGACCACTATAATTTACGCATGATTACAAGTCGGAGAAAAATGACACACTGTATTTCATTGATCCAATCCAAGGGTTCCCAAACTGTGGTCTGTGGACCACCAGTAGTCCAAACTTCATTCAGATAGTCCATGACATGTCTGGATTTGTGGCTGAAGACAGTTGAAGATGGGAGATGGCACACCCATCACATTAAAATTTCACACTGATTTTTAACTCTATATTTATTGTGTCTTTTATTTCTTATATATTGTATTTTCTTGTATTATTCTATGGAATTTAAACTGAAATACAATAAACAGGGTGCACCCAGGGTGTTAGCTGAGTTTGTTTGAATGCAACGCAGACAATTTTTAAGAAATAAAAATATAACTGGTTTCCCTAAAAGCCAATTAATGGGAAGTGTTCTGACAGAAGCTGTTTTCAAGCACTGTTTACAGGTATACAGTACTGCATTCTCTCTCTCACGCACACACCCAACTTCAAAAGCAACACCAACAAACTTTCTTTCTTTCTTTTTTACAACTGAAGACGTCCAAGTAATTGCTATATTAGTGAATCAAATGTAGTTTATTGTACCACTTCCTAAGTGCTCTGGGTAGGCAACTGTTCAAGGAAAGCAAACCATCAAAACTAATCAGCTAATTAAAAAAACAGTATACAGTCACTCTAGATCTTTTCCGCCTTTATTATTTGGTTATTGAATACCAGCTGAAACAGGTAGGTATTGAATCGTTCACGCTTAGACAGACTTTAAGGCAATGGGAGGTTTACAGCCTTTTAACCCAACAAGAACACCTCTTTGCATGTTATTTAACGTAGGCATAGAGGACAGTTGGTCTTCTATCTTAAACATCAACTTCAAAGGTCCATACAGCGAAATATGTCTGCTGTTGTCTAATCTAAACAGCTTCCATGCTTTCTTACGCTGAAGCGCTATCCCTGCATTAAGGTCATGTATATCGGAGTGTTTGAAAGAACAAGGGGAAGGATATCTCATTATCTAATCTGTAATTGCAAAGGTTCTTTTCATTATTGCCCTGGGCCAACCGCAAGGAAAATAAAGGAGCAGTGAGTTCAAATATTTTCTTCAGGCAATAGTTAACTTATAATTCAGATTTGACTATTTAGGTTAGACTTTATTGGAGAAGACCTCCTCAAGAAGATATTTTCAGGAGATACTCACAACTGTTTCCTATTATTATTATTTTTACATTTGTTAGTCAATTTCCTCTAGACATGCTTGTTACTACATAATTCCATAGCTGGTTTGAAAGCTGTATTATTGCTCATTGCTCAACTACAGTTCTGAGTAAGCACAGGGTTAGCACAGAAGTCACAATGGAGTTAGTTATGCAAGTGACTATATCTGTATTGCAGATTATCTTGGCCCTGAACTTGAGTCATTCCAACCACAATGCCATTCATAATATCAGAGCTGTCAGATTTCCACACACTAACAGGAAAGTGTGACCCTTTCCTTATAAAGCAGTGGATTAACTCTGTCTTGACAAGTCTCAGTATAAATGCCAATACATTTTCAGAAGCTTAATATGGAAATCACTTAAACAATAACCATAGCAGTCAATTCTGTGACTTCCAGCTGTGAGCTAAGAGGAAGGCACGTTTGGCAAATCCTCACTGGAAACCTATGTCCTGACTATGGAAGGATGTGCGGATCCAGAATTGGCCTCAACAGTCGCTTATGGACACACTGTTAAGACCATATTCATGGAAGACTATCCTACTTGGCTGCAAGTGATCACCAAAGAAGAAGCAGCCAAAGCACTTCAGGGTTCAATCCTGCCCATACCTGAGGTTCAGATGTGGAAGAGCAGAGGGATGATCACCCTCCAGCAGATCCAGCCCTGCCAGTGATCCTGAGGAGGTTACCTGGGTTTCTGGCTGGCTCTGCCATGTAAAACAATCCTGCTATCAGGAACAGCCAATTCCACAAATATCTCATCAACGGAATCTTCCATCGTCATATTTGCCTTGTCTAAACTGAGCTTCCTATTTATTCATCCACAGCCATCCATCACCCATTACGGAGGTTGCACCTGGTTCAAATGAAAGGGAGAAATAGGGCAGCCCTACCCATTCTTGTGCCCTCCTGATGTTGTTAGACTACAACTCCCATCAGCACCAGCCAACAGGGCCAGTGTTTCAAGGATAATGGGAGCTGTAGCGTAACATTAGGAGGGGACCAGGTTGTAGAAAACTGAAACAGAGTGGGTACTAAGGTACACTCCACTTACTGTATTTTTCTGTGTATAAGACTATATTTCCCCCCAATTTTTTAAGTTTAAAATTGGGGGTCATCTTATACACAGAATGTTGCAACTAAATATATAAATAAATTTATTTCTTAATTTTGGGCTGAAAAATAGGGGTTGCCTTATACATGGGGGCGTCTTATACATGGAAAAATATGGCACTTCACATTTTTTATTAATTTATTAAAGTTGCAGTCACTTTATCTTGCCCAAAGCATCTTACAACCAGACAGACAATAACTCCACATAGATACATTGAAACCAAGAAGAAAGAGAAAGACTTTAAAAACATCCCACCCACTTCTAAAAAGCCACAGGTACTTAAAGCCCAAAGGCTTGGTTATAGAGGAATGTTTTTGCCTGGTGCCTAAAAAGATATAATGACCGCTCTTTATTAAGAACAGCTGTTTGTACTGCACACAGCAAAGCACCTGTTTTTAGGTGTTCCAATTGCAATATTATTTTATAAAACAGGTGTTTGCTAAAGATGATAGTACAAACAACAGCTTATACCAAGAGGCTTGACCGATCTGAACTTCTGCCTGTTTGCAGCTTCCTTTCAACTTGCAATCCAGTTCAATGCAAAGTAAGGTATGCCATAGTCCACTCAAATAAATGGACTTAGGTGCACCTAAATATATAAGACTGGGCTGTAAAAAGGCTGTTCTAAGTTCCAGGCAATATTTTGAAATTAGCTCAGCAAGATCTTTAATACCTGCCAAAGTTTCAAGGCATAGACAAAGCTTCACTGACACTAACTTTAATTGACTGCTGCTTTCACAAAACTCAAGACAGAAAATTCTCATTAGCTTGGCAATCTGTGATTAAGATGGTATGTGGACTCTTAATTTATTACATAACCATACTTCAGCAAAGAGCAGAGATAAGTTAGCATGTTGTTAACAATTAACTACCTACTGTGTAGTGCTCCGACACATTAAGGCAATTTGTTTTGTCATTTAATAAAGATCAAACCTCACTGTAATCATTTCAGACACTTCAGCTACATTTAGCAGACATTAATATCCAACCTGCCATTTTCTCCAAAAATTCTGGCAACAAACATCTTCTAAGATCAAAATATTTTTAGTCCAGAAAGCAGAACATGAGCCCAGTCCACCCAGGGACAGTTGTGGGCAAGATTCCTGTATTGCAGGTGGTTGGACCAGATGACACTGAGGTCTCTTCCAACTCTACAACTCTATGATCCAGCACTGCCTCACCTGGCCCTTCCTGGTGAACACAGCTCTGCCATCACTGGGAGGGCACAGCTGCCACTCTACATGCCACATGTTCCACTGCTGCTAGCTTGTGAACTATAAACTCTATTTGAAATTAACGCGGGTGGCGCTGTGGGTTAAACCACAGAGCCTAGGACTTGCCGATCAGGTCGGCGGTTCGAATCCCCGCGACGGGGTGAGCTCCCGTTGCTCGGTCCCCGCTCCTGCCTAGCAGTTCGAAAGCATATCAAAGTGCAAGTAGATAAATAGGTACCACTCCGGTGGGAAGGCAAACGGCGTTTCCGTGCGCTGCTCTGGTTCGCCAGAAGCGGCTTAGTCATGCTGGCCACATGACCCGGAAGCTGTACGCCGGCTCCCATGGCCAATAAAGTGAGATGAGCGCCGCAACCCCAGAGTCGGTCACGACTGGACCTATTGGTCAGTGGTCCCTTTACCTTTTTACGAACTCGAAGAACCACATCTGCCTAAAATAGCGCAGAAGCATTTCTGTATTATACGTCCATATGCCCACAATTTAATAGCCCCAGAAGATGAAGTTTTAGATGTTTATTCAGAAATTTATTTATTTACAGCCTGCACTTACATAAATACATATAAGTATTTACATTCTATCTTGCAAAACATCAGGCTGGTGACAACTTTTAAAAGCAATACAAAGCAATCATTAAAATGACTGTCTACTCAAATGAACACACAAGCATTAAAGTATGACTGAGACTTCTTGCATGGATAAAATAAATGTTAAAAGGGGGGGGGGCTTGCATATTATTTGCCTTAGGGATATTGTTAAGAATTAGATCAGCATATTGTTCTCAGTGGCTGAGAAGATGCCAGCAGGCAGGACCTGAGGATCTGTTCCAAGCAACTAGTATTCAGAAACAGACTGCCTCTAACCATGAAGGCAGAGCATAGCCATTGTCACTAGTAGCCACTGATAGCCTTACCCTTCATGAATTTGTCCAATCCTCTTTTTAAAGCCATCCAAGTTGGAGGTCATCACCGCTTCCCATGGGAGTGCATTCCATAGCTGAATTATGCATACATTTGTATCTTTCTTTTCTACCCAGGAACTCAAGATTGTGTAGGTTTTCCTCCCCTCTCCCCTTTTATTTTTGCAACAGCGCTGTGGGGTAGGCTAGGTTAAGTTAACATATGTACATAAGCAGTAGGTCTGGGTCAATAGATTGCAGAGAGGTAGCTGTATAAATAGCATATAGGTGAAATTAATATCTGAGGGAAAAAATAGAAGGCCAACGTAGAAAATACTAGGATGTAATAATTTGTTAATTGCGTCATTAGAACCATGCACAGAAAGTGAATGAATGAAGGATGGCAAATAGAGAGAAAAGAACAACTGTGGAAGAAGTCTAAGATTACCAACACCAACCACAACAATTGCACTGTTAATTCATACTTGTCAAAAGTTCCCAACTAATTACTACAAAATTAGCCCACTCTCTCATGCCTGAATAGTTAGCAACCTGTTCAAGTTTTCTTGGCTATTGTTATATGAAGTTATCTTCCTCCTGCCTCTATTTGTTCCTCTGTTTCTATCTCTGGGCCTACACTTAAGTGAGAATAGTTAACGAGGTTATGTTGTGATTGAGCATCTAAACACAACGAATTACTTACTGATATATTTGCAAAAGGATTTGACCTCAGTGTATGGGGAAGGGGTGGGGAGGCAGAGAGGTGAGCAAGACAGATTTGATAAAGTAAGAATCAGAGCCACAGATGACCTGTAATACATTACTTGGCATGTGACGCATGCAGCATAGAATAGACCTGGCTTTGATGTTGAAAGCCTTCTCTCCAGCTTTTAACCCCCGATTAACAAGGCTAACCACTTCATCTGGAGTTAGGTCTCCCCTGTACAAAGCAAAATACGAAGAGATCAGTTAGGACATCGTTGTTTCCAATTATCAGTGCTCAAGGAAGTGCTCATAATCCTATCACCAAGCTGCTTGCATCTCAGGCTGAATTACAAAGGACTCAGTACAACCAACATCTGGGTACAACCAGCAAACAAGTCTGCCAGATAAAACCTAGCTCAGTGGTAGAACAGATGACAGGAATGCAGAAGATCCAGGTTCAGTCCCCAGCATCTCCATTTGAAAGGATCTCAGGGCTCATCCACACTTGCAAAGTATGAGAGGTTTTCTGTTTGGTCTGAGCAGTTTTCAATTTGCCCTGCCACTTTCCCCGAGAAAACCCGCTCTTTAGCGCTGAATTGGAACAAACATCAATTCACAGAAAACCTGACTGATGTCAGCTCCAATTCAGTGGTAAAGAGTGGGTTTTCCCAGGGAGAAAGTGACAGGGCAAGCGGAAGTGTGGATGAGCCCTCAGATAGCAGAGTTGGCAACAGCAGACAATATTGGTCCTCAAGGGATCAGTGGTCCAAATCAGGCTAAGGATGTCTCCTCTATTCAGATCCAGCAGTTCCCAAAACATTTTCTAAGCACTATAAACATACCAGAAAAGGTCTAGGTGCTATTCTTGGTATTAAGTCAAATGAATTTTACATCTGTATTGGTAATGTCCATGGTAGATCATTGAGTATTTCTATAAGGAAATGGGTTTTTCCAGCTGGAATAGCATCCTCCCTGTTCTTTATTAACATGCACAGCTTCAGTTTTCCCTGGCAGGAATTGCAGGCAAAAGCAGCAAACTTTCCTCCCTTCTCTATTCTCACTCCCGAAACTCCCTTATACAAATTAGCAATGTATTGTCAAACAAAGCTCTGGTTTCTTCTAAACAAATTAAGAGCTAGAAAGATCACCTGCAGGGTTTCAAACCAGTAGCTGTAACAGTCAAAACTGCAAGGATTTTTTTAATTCTTAAATAAGAGCTGGGGAAGAAAAATGCTTGTGTTTGAGCTCTGGTTCTTTTCTTCAGCTAAGAGTAACTTCTGCCAAGAACTCTTACAGCTGCTTCACACAGGCAAGATGGATGAAGTACTCGGGGCAGGAGGTCTCACTAACGTGGCAGCATTCTCAGAGAAAAGGAGGGATGGAGGAAAAAACACGACAGGCTTGATAAATCACCAGCTCTGCTTTCTAAAATGGAAAGCTAAAGGCAGATGGACTTCATGTGCTCTGTAAATACAAAAGCTGTGGATTTCATATTCTAAAACTAAGATTATTTTCTTGTCAAAAAGGTAGAAACACAAGGCAAGCCTCAACAATTCTGTTAATTGTGGGCGCATCACAAATACTTATTTTATTTATCCTATACATGTGGTGCTTTTTATTTGCAACCTGTTGTAACATAGTCCTATTGTAACCTATTTTAAATTTGGGTGTGTGGGGGCACGCAAGTCGTGGCAACTATATAAGGGTAGCTAGAGATCTTTGTCTCCTGACTAATTACAGTAACCTAATATTCAACTCTGTTATGTCATATTTGAGGTGCAAGATTTTACTATCTGTTCACTGTCTACCTCAAGCAACGGCTAATTTTCTAAATATCCGTTTTCTGTTTTATAGTTGAAAGTTTAGTTATTTTTCTATTGTGCACAGTAAAGAGTTTTATGTAATTTGAAGAATCTAAATATGCTGCTCCATTAAGAGAGTGAGTGCTTGTGAGGATGATCCAAAAACATGGAAGTATTTTAACTAGGGAATGAAATTTTGGAGTATCACTGATTTCTAAGGGAAAGTTAAACAGTTCCTAATCCCTGTCTATGACACCAATTGGACTTTAATGCTACAAGCTCATGCATGCTTACGTGGAACTAATCCACACTGAGTTCAACAGGTTTTACTCCCAGGAAAGTGAACATAGCCTAAAATGCTAACTTTAACAACAGTGCACTTTCATACTTTTCTCTCATTCTCTAGGGAAAATATAACAACAGTATATGCAAAGAAAGTCAATTAGATATCCATTGTTGAACCATATCTATCAGAAATGCATGGGCAGCATCCTTTAAGCCAGCGGTTCTCAACCTGTGGGTCCCCAGATGTTGTTGGACTACAACTCCCATCATCCCTGAGCTCTGGCCTTGCTAGCTAGGGGTGATGGGTGTTGTAGTTCAACAACATCTGGGGACCCACAGGTTGAGAAAGGCTGCTTTAAACAAAGAGACTGGTACGTTTTATTATTTAGACTCTAGAATGCTGGTTGGCCATGTGAAGGAATTTCACATTGCCCTTGAAGATGTACTTATTTTCAACATATTTTCTTGAACTGCATGCTGTCAGTTAGTAGTATGCCACCAGCTATTTACCTCTCTTAAGAAGGTTACTTTATATTGTGTTATCTTACACCTTTAAGAAGGTACTCACTCTTCTTGGTTCCAAGGGATAGGATGCACTTTGCAGTTGGCTAGGAGGTGAGGGCTGTACCGGGCTTCAACATAGATTACACCTTCCTTTGCTTTCATTTCTACAAATTCATAAGCAATTCTTTCCACAGCCTCACGGTCCCCCCTGTGAATGTAAAAAACGTTGATTTCTATAATTGCTGCAGTCAATCAACAATCTAAACTCTACAAAACATGGATATGCGGTGCTGTGGGAGTTAATGCTTCTCAGCAGACCAAAATGCTACACCTCAGCAACACACTGTTCAAACCCTTGTGAATTTGCAAGACTGATATGACCACAGATTAATAAAATTTTATTTGGTACATTTATATCCTGTTTCCCCAAAGGAATTTAAAATGGCTCACGATAATTAAAATCAAATAAAAGGAGCCTATATGGTCCAATTCTTAAACCCAAAATATTATGAAGCAGCTAAGCTATGTTTGCCACATTAATGCAGGAAAAACATTTTTCCTATTTGAGCATGAGCTACATAGGCTAATGGGAAAATTCAGGATACTTAAGTAGCCAATTAGCTGCAGCAATGAATCTTTTCTATCCTTTTTGCAATCCAAGTGGCAAGGCACTCAGTTTAACTCTCATACAGAGTTGCAGATAAGGAGCTGAAGAAAGTGGTTGTAGTTCTAAGTGTGCAAGTCAGATAAAAAGCAAAGTGTACTTTGGATTGGATATGGGCTGTGTACTTATTCTGTTTTGGAATCAGCACTTTCTCTACTTGCCAATGTCCTCCTACCAGTCATCAAAATGTGACATTTCTGTTATTTATGAGTGCCTAAATTTAAAAGTAGTGTCCGTAAGCTATGAGTCAGTTCTAATACACAATCTGAAAAAACAACAATATGAGCCAACACTGTCATTTCCTAAGCAGCCAAATTTCAAGGATGCCAAAGAAGTCTGTAGGTTCCAAAAGAAACATCCCAGTTCTTCCCAGTTTTTAGACACTGTGGCTTGCCTAGACAGTTACTAGCATTCACACACCATGATAGTTCAGATGTAATACAAACTACTGTTTGAGGTTGCATGAGATTCAAATTCACACACTATCTCTCTGCCTCCTCTTGATTTCTTAATCGCCACTATTGGCAAAGCACAGTTTGCCTTTTCATCCAAAATGTGTACCTCGTGGCACATATCAGTGGCAGACTTTAAAATTTCAGCAGCACCCTGTGCAATACCAAAATTTGGTGCCTTCCCATTTCTGGCCTTCCACTGTTTGTCATTGCTCAGCACCCAGTGTGGGCAAATGGGTTGCGCTTCTCTAAATCTGCCAATGCCATACTAATCAATGATTATTTAAGGATTTAAGAGTGTTGCTACTTTCACAACTGAATGGATGTTAATTTGGATTTCAGGAAGTAGTATGCTCTCTATTTTGAATAATCCCTAAGTGACCCACTAAAAGTTTAAAGGGTTCGAGGAAAAGGAATGTCATGTTTGTTGTCATCTGTGACCTTGGTCCTGTATTTCCCTCCCCCCGACCCTGCAAATTAGGATCCTAGTTGGAAGGGAAGTAAAGGCTCCCCTTTTTGCTATTAAGAGTACAGAGCAAATCAAAATCCCCCAAAAGCCATATTTCTCAAGTTAGCAGTAGTTGTGCTTTTCCTAAATATGGCCTGTCAGCAATACAATTAAGCCTGTGTTCAGTTAAGATCTAGATGGTCAATGTGGACCAGAATTTATTCCAAGAATCAGAATGCAAAAAATCTATGTACCTGAAGAGATTTGTGTCAAAATCAGTAAGCTCTGCAACCAGTTCAGTAGTCTGGTGATCATTTTGCTATGCTGAAAGCATATTGTGCTGGTCCCAATGAATCCAATCCTGCTGACAGCAGTTTTAGAACTGCCCACACAGGGCTTCAAGGACGAAGATAGTTTATGAACCTGTTCCACTCATTAACTACTGATAGGGTACAGGGTCACCATGCACCAGCAAGTCACATACACCAGGCTGTTTCTTTCTCAGCGGGAATAACGGCACTGATCTCTAAGCAATCTCACAAATTAAAGGTTTGTACTATTTTGGTCTAATGCTTTAATGGCAAGAAAACATAATCAGGGCAAAACCAAAGCAAGTTTTGCTTGGTGGTCATATACTATGCAACATGCATCAACAGCGACTCAAAGGGATAGAAGGGAGGTTTGACAACAGTAAAGATGGAGCAAGTTACTTTACTCACGCAATTGCTGGCATGTAGACAGAAAATTTTTCTAGGAACTCTGTGAGACTGATAGGTTCGCTGTAGCTAACATATTGTAGAAGGCCTTCTACTGTATCTGCAGGAAGATGTTTTCCCCTTTTCCTAGATGTTAAACAAAATACATGTATCAACTGCTGTAGGCTTACTTGGGTAAGTTCTGAACTAAATTCTTTTAGTACATCAGTGAAGAAAACTGATGGTCAGAAAGCCCTAGATATTTTTCATGTAGTCACTGATTAATCTGATGGCACTTTCTGTGTCTATAATTCCTCTCTTATGCTCTGGAAGACTATAAAAATATACATTGTAACATATGTAACGACATACAAAGTGACTCTATGTGATTAATGGAATTATGTCTTTATTTTTATATTATAAAATTTCTTGTTCTTATGTTGAAGGAGGCAAAGTTGACAGCCTGAGGACAATTCTCTTAAACCAATTGAACAAAGAATGTAAATGAAGCACACATTTGTAGAATCTTGGCTTTCTGATTAAATAAATCAGGAAATGTTTGTGTAGAATCTCCATCCTCAGCTAAAAGCCAAACTAAACTGAGTGCTGGCGAATGAAATAGCAAATTCCCTTTTCGGAGTACAATTGCTGGTAAGCTATATTCTTGTACTCCAGATGTTTCATGGCTCTTACTTCTGGTTCTTCTGTCAAATTTCCTTTTTTCATAGAAACTGGTATCTCTGTAAACAAAAGCATCTGACTTCGGCCTTAAGCAGTCCCCTTTGCAAATCTGAATTCCTAACGCAGTAACCTTATATGACCTTCCCATTTTGCTGTAATAGTTAGGGCTGAAGTATATTTATAATAGTTTATTATTTGCGAAAATCTTTGAACTTTTAAATAGATTTTCACATCTGGAAAAAGTTTTAAAACAACAATACCAATCAGTGATAGTCTTGATTCTGAATAGACTCTTTTAGTTCTCTGCAGAGAATCAGGCTCTTTCACACTTCTTACCTTGCTTGATTCTTTTCTGTCTCTGACTCCCAGATTCCCCCACCTTCCTGGCTGGGGATGGATTTTGAAATAGTTGCAGCGGGATAGTTGATGAGAAACATGCCACTACTGCAGCTTGCAAACTTTGAGGGGGAAATCCTATGCACCCTTACCTGGGGATAAGCTCCATTGAACACAGTGGGACATACACATGCACAAAACTGTGCTTTTGATGTATTTCCCTTACCAAAGCACACTAGTTGTTCTATAACAATTAGGTGGAATCTTACTCTCTAAAATTGCGTTAAACTAACAAAATGCAAGTAATGAAGCCTGATCAAAGATTTTGATATTTCATTTGCTTTTATCCTGGAGACATTAATGACCAAGGAACATTTTGCAAACAATTCAGACTAAGCATGAGCTTCTGAAAAAATAAAAAGGAAAAACACCACCCAAAACCACTCACTCACTTGCCAAAGTATAAAATGGTTTCTGGTTTAATGGCTCCATCTAGGTGGACATGAAGTTCTACCTGCAAAACAGTTGAAAGAATGTGAATAGTAATATACATTAAAGCCCTTGTGACCTAAGAGTGGAAAATGACATTTCTGACAGATATGTGCATGCAGTCGTAGTTTTTAGTTTAGCACAGTAGCTCTCTCCCCCCATCCTGCAAAATACAAGCAACTTGAAAGTTGGTAGCATTTAAAACCAGCTTCGAGAGCAGCATAGGGAAATGATAAGCTTTCGTAAAAGAAACTTACTAGCCAAAGCCTCTGGTTTCTTTTGCAATTACGACAACTTCTCAGTGTCAAAATTTCAGATGTAAAAAGAGAACCAAATAGTCCTACTCTCTGATCTCTGCATAATGCCTGCTTACACAACACAATCTAAACAAATAAAATGAGGATAGTAATTTGGCTGATGGTTGCGTAGCAGCTTCTTATGAAGGACGAAGCCACAGACATATCAGATTCCAAGATTTGCTTCATTTGCCTGCTCCCAATGAAAACGCCTATTATGGACGCTCTTTTGAACCTGTTTGTAAAAAGCAGCATAGCTCATCATGAGTGCACTAGTAATTTCCTTTTGTGGTAAAGAGATGTCTGTGAGTTTTGGGTTTTGCAAGCTAACAGCATTTTGGAGTGCTGACATTCTCCCTCTGGAGATCTGATGTGAGAGCAGTTGATCTTGGAATGCTTAAGCCCTGCCTTCCCTTACACCCAACCTATATATTTGTAAATACACTCAAAATATTACAGAACACCATACACTTCCAGTGACCCCTTTCCAAAGAAAACTAAACCTAGTATATGCTGAACTTCTCACCACTCAGAGAAGTGGAGAGAACAGAACACTATTCACTATAATATGCCCAATCCAGGCAGCACAGGGTTGTGAGTTGAAAATAGAATGTATTCAGCTAGTTTAAGAATAGTGGTACACTTCAGCAACAAGTAGCAGACTTTGTTTCCAACATATTATTTCTGAAATTTCTATCCCACCCTTCCTCCCCAAAGAACCCAGAGTGGCTCCTTATGTACATGACAATAACCCTGTCTGTAAGTCAGTGAGTCTGCAGAAGGCTCATATTAAGATATACTGTATTCAAAATTCCAATGCCTTCCTCTGACATAGCAAAAGCTGCTAGAGATCTATCAGGCTGCCTGATCTGGTCTAGATCTGATAAGTCCACAATGCAATGTTTCAACTGCTGTACACGAAAAAGAAAACTGCTCAAACCTCATACAAACCAAGCTGCACATTGTGAGAGTTCTGACAAACCATTAGGATTGCGCAGTACATAAGATCTCTATGTTACATTAAGAATTTATTTTCTTATAGTTCCTTGTAAAAATTTATACAAATTTTAGATGCATTTTAATTTCATATTATTAAATTGTTTTATTACTAGTAACTTTATTACTAAAACCTAATTATATAAAGCAGGTTAAACCAATTCTTGACTTCTCTAATATGTTTCTGCCCAATGGGGGACTACTCTGATTCCTTGACATCTATTGTACTGAATTGCCCCTCACTAATAAGTGTATTTTCAGATTAGTAGCAAAGAAAGCCTCTAATTTATGAGACGTAAACATAGTCATTACTCTCATTTCCCTTCCTAACAAAAGAAACTGGTACAAGCTGAGGTATGGTATTTATATGGCATGGATAAAATTGTACTACACTCCCTGGGAAAGGATCAAAGTGATCTCAAGACACTCATGCAACCAAGTGAAATCATAGCAATGCTAGTGTTCAACAAGCTGTTGCTACGCCTCAAGGGTTTTAGTAGATGAATAAGTTCACAGTAAGTCCACAACACTATCATTACTCTAGAATACTTCTTCCCACTCAACCAGTTTCATTAATTACAGCTTGACAAATACATACAGACTTCTTTTCAAACCTTTTATACTGGGAAGAGCAGTGCATTGTAAATGACCTGGTAGAATCTTAAAATTGTAGAGCTGGAAGGGACCCTGAGGGTCATCTATTCCAACACCCTGCAATGCAGGAATCCTGCTCACAGCTGTCCCTGTACAGGCTCAAACCAACTATCTTCTGGTTAACAGCCAGGCTCACTAACTCATTGTACCACATACTTACATTGATACAATGACTGGGTGTCTCAATGGTATAAAGGAGCACAGCAAAGCTTGAAAAAAAATGCCCTCCACCCAATGAAATGGAGCCTGTTCAGACATTACTTTCTGGAACCACTATCAACACATCTCAGCAGGGAGAAAATGGCAAATGAACTGCCCTGTCCCAGCTACCACATATCTCTCTGGAATAAATGGATGGTTCAAAATTGGGAGAGAAATGCAGTACAGCTCAGTTTATTATTTTATCTAATTTATTAATTACATGTTTATTATTTACAATCTAATTTGCTACATTAAATTTTAATAAATTACTCTTATCAGATACTTGGAAACATGCATATGATTTTAGGTTTGATCCCAAAATGTTGTTTCATAACTTTTTCAGACTAAACATATTTAGTGGAATTATGCTAATTACATTGCTTTGCTTTTAAAATTATTTCATTAATAAAATTTGGCTCATTGCACTGCAAATCTATGACAAGCTGTATTTTCTAACAATAAAAATGTAAGCATGATAGATGGCTGTCATCCAATTAAAGAAATCTTGCAGTGTAATCCTAACCATGGCAACTCAGAATAAGTCATACAGAATTCTGCTGGTAAATGGGGTTAGAAATGCAGCTGGGAAGTTAATTAATCCACGAATTAAATTTATTTATGGGTAAAAACAATGCTCCTGAAGCATGAATAAACTTTTGCTTGTTTCTAGATGATGCATTCCTGAAATAAAATTTCACAAACCGTGTTCCATTGAACGTATCCAATTCTGAATAGGATCAAGAGCAATATTGTTAAGGATCAAGAGGATCAAAAGCAGTATTGTTGAAATTCTCCTAGCTGTAACCAAACAATTGTCTATCTTCAGTACAAGTCTGAAAGCCTCACCATATGATTATTATGCCTCTGTTGTTTATCTTTTCATAAACAAATTCAGAGCCAAAGACCAAGAACTCACTTAGATGTTATATATAAATAAAACAAGGAGCACTGAAGCCTGATACTGCAAATTCTTCAGTATGCATACTGAACTTAACTACCAAAAGTCTTCCAGCTGATGCCACTTATCAGAAGAAAGGAGACGACTCCTCCTCAGTCTGTGACGTCAATGAGACTACTTAGGGAGGGCAAAGAGCTCTTAAGAAACTAGGGTCAACATTTTTATTATAATAAACTGCTTAGAGAATATTGTAGTCCCTGCATCTGGATTTCCCAAAGGCATCTGGCTGGTAGCTAACATAAACCAAGATGCCGAACTACATGGACCTTTGATCTCATACAATAAGGTTTATCTTATGATTTATAACCAGAGCTGACAAACCTATGGCACTGTCCTCTTCCACATATCCTACTGAAATTTGTAAATATCAATCATGAGTGTCATCATTACTGTATTATCTGGAGTCTGAAGCATCAGAGAAAGGCAGTCCAGACAACTGCACCATAGCAGTAAAAGTCAGTTTCCTAAGGGTTGCCAACGTTTCAGCTTATTTCAAAAGTGTTACAAAAGATTGCCAGATGTTCATGTGCCTCCTTCACAGGAGGTCTGGAGGGTGGCAACACAAAAATGGGCCTTTTCTGTAGTGGCTCCCTGTTTGTGGGATGTTCACCTGGCACGTTCATTATATAGCTTTAGGCACCAGGCGAAAACCTTTCTCCTCAACCAGGCCTTTGGCTGATTAATATTCTAGTATTTGACATGTGTTTGTGGGAGGGGGTTATTGTTTTGTAGTTTTTATTTTAACCCTGTATTTCTGTTTTTAACCTGTGTTTTTATCTTGTGAACTGCCCTGAGATCTTGTGATGAAGGGCGGTATATAAATCTAATAAATTAAATTAAATAAATGTTGTTTTTAGGGATGGAGTAATATCGCTGCTACCAATATATTTTTTTAAGAGGTTGTGTTTCACTGAATTTGTGTGAACTTTATTATTTAATGAATTAAGTTGAGTTTGAGCAGTGAAGAAACCCACAAAGGGATGAAATGAGTTGGCACAACACAGAACTACCCCAAGTCATTTTAACCCTAATATCGGGATCTAAGTTTAACTACTCCCACTGAGTAATGACTAATGGCACCACTTATTTCGTAAATACATAAAATCTTGTTTTATCAGATTTCTGCAAAAATGTGAAGATATTGTGTCCCAAAACGGCAATGAATCATAAAAGAAAAGCTATTTTTAAACTGACTTCATGTCTTATTCTTGCAATTCAGCATTGCATATTTAACTTCCTCATCATTTGGAACTTCCCTGCTGATTGGAACTTTACTGACTAGCAGAATGTGCTGTCACTGAATGTTAAACAAAGGCGAGTGTCAGAGATACAACCCATATGATTACTGCATAGACTGAAGTAGTTTCCAGGGTTTTTTGTTTGTTAAACACTCCTACTTGTTTCTGCTGAGCCTTGTTGAAGATAAATAAGATGGTTCCAGCAAAAAGTTTTTATTTTAACCCTGTATTTCTGTTTTTAATCTGTGTTTTTATCTTGTGAACTGCCCTGAGATCCATCAGTGCCATCAGCAATGGATGCAAGTTCATCAGTGCTGAATGGATTAGATCTATATATTATTAGTCGTTAAGACTGTTGGACTACGAGCTCAGAGGCCAGGGTTCAAATCCCTGCTCTGCCATGACGCTCACTGGGTGATCTTGGGCCAGTCAGTGCCTCTCAATCTAACCTACCTCAGAGGGTTGTTGTGGTGATCAAATCAGGAGAGGGAGAACCATGTCTACCACCTTGAGCTTCTTGAAGAAAAAAGGTGGGATATACGGTAAATAAAGTGCTGTTTTACTAAATGGTTCATGCAAAGTTATATGCTTGAAGTTGGTGTGTGCAGTTCAGGTTGCAGGAGCTGCTAAAATACACCAAAAAAAAGCATACTGCAATTTAGCAAAATTTTCACCCATTGACTTCCCTTTATAAAATGTGGATGTATGCATCCACGTGGAGACAGTACTCATGAATGTCTTAACATACATTCAGATCATGTTACTACCCAAAGGGTAGTAAAGAAAAAAGAAAAAAAAGAGTTAGGTCGCGCTTGTCTAGCTTGCAATCAGATTCAGATTGCATTCGTTGAATTACTGACAAAAGCAGGAGTCGCACAATAAAAACACTTTGATGAACCAGATACTGTTTGCTCACTCTCTGTATCAGTACTTAAATCTGAGTGCGTATCCTGACGTGGCCAAAACAGCACTTATCTATGAGCAAGACAGAAGTACAGTATCAGGAAGCTCTGAATGATGAGTAACTCAGCCACAAGTTTCACTGGGTGTTATTGGGCCAGTCACTATCTCTCATTCTAAACTACCCCACAGGGTTGTTGGAATGTTAAAATGAGGAGGGAAGACAACCCCATGCATCCTTGAGCTCCTTGGTGGAAAATAAATGCTGTAACCGATAAGCAAAATCTTGTTTTCTGTGTAACGCTCGGTGATAGAAACTGGGCAGACCTACAAACAGGATGCCCAAAGCGGGGCTAAAGGTCATAGGAGTAGCAATGCTAATGTTATCATTTGATGGATAAGGCAAGAGGACACTTAGGCCAGGAACAGGCAAGGTGCAGCAGGAACATGTGCAACGGTAGATAAAATGCAAGAGATAGGAAGAAAGTGGGGGAGAATAGGCAGTTTGCTATACTGTATGTGTGAGTATGTATGTGTGTGTGTATATACATATATATATATACATATATATATATATGTATATATATATATATATATGTATTAAATTTCTATTCCATCGTTTTCCCAGGGGAGCCTAGGTATATCAGGCAGGAGCAGTAAGGCAGGTAACATTAAAGGTAATAGGGTGATGGGAGGGAGAGGCAGGAATTGAAAGGGAACTGGGGTCTTGGGAGTGGGGTGCAAATAAAGTGGGGAAAGCCGAAATAAAAAGAGGTGGTTATACAGAGGTAAGCGAAGGGGGCAGATAATAATAATGATGATGATAATGATAATGATGATAATAATAATAATTTTATTATTTATACCCCGCCCATCTGGCTGGGGTTTCCCCATATAAGGCAGAGCGGGGAAGCCCAACTACCTTTATAAAGCAGCAAATAGTAACGAAACAACAAAATACCACTGGGGTTTTTTTTGGGGGGGGGGGGAGTTGGGTCATCTGTTTCTGAGACCCCGTTTCTGGGAACGGGTGTCTGAGGGAGAGGTGAAGCGGGCACCTCCCCGAGGCGTTAAAGAGGCAAGAAAAACAGAAATAACGTTGAGGGGGAAATGAAGGTGGGGAGGAGTTGCTCGGGCAGAGCGAGAAGGGCAGGAGAGGGAAGCAAGCGGAGGGATCCTCCCGCCAGGCGCGCTTCCCTGGGAGTAAGTCCCGCTGAGGCACCGCGGGGCTTCCTGCCGAGCAAGCGCGAAGCCGGCAGGTCCGCAGAGGTGCATAGGCAGGGCGAGCCCGGCGGCGGCGGTTGGTCGCCCCCTCAGCGGCTCGGGAAAGCCGCCTGAGCTGACGGCGAGCTCTGGGACGCCCAGCTCTCTCACCTTGGGCTTGTCGAAAACCCGCGGGCTGTTCTCCATGCTGCTGCCTCCTCCTGCTCCTCCGCCAGTCCGGGCTTCAGTGGCCGCCGGCCCGGCCTGTTGCTCTCCTGCAGGGCTGGCTCCGCCCAGCGGTCTCTTCTGGGACCGGCCCGCCCGGTGTGTGAGGCAGCGAGAAGGGCGGCTGAGGCGACGGGGAAAAAACAACAACCCTTCCCTGCCAGTAACAGACGCTGCCGGGCGCGGCCAGGGCTGTCAGGGCTTCGAGGGTTACGAAGCCGGCTCATCTCTGACTCACATACAGAGTTTTTTTCCTCACCAACCACACCTCTAGGGTTCAGTGCAGGTTATGAATGCCAGACATCAGGGCCGGCCCAAGGCATTTTGGCGCCACAAAATGGCGCCCCCATCCTACCAGGCAAGAAAGGGTGAGTGAAGAACAGCTACACCAGCGACCAGGAGGGTCTAAGGATCTACATCAGGGATCTCCTGCCCCTGCAGGTCCTGGCGCCTGAGGCGGTCTCCTCACCTTGCCTTTGCAAGAGTGCGCAGGCCCTGCCAGAGAGGCACACAAAATCAGGTTAATGCTCCCGCCACCCTTGAGCATGTGTGGAGTGCGGTTAGGAACATACAAGCCTGCTTTAAGGCCTTAGCTCAGGATTGTCTGCACTGACTGGCAGCAGCAGCTTGTCGGGGTCGGGGGTCTCTCCTAGCCTCATCTGGAACAGACTTGACTGATTGGTTGATTGATTGTTATACATATACTCGGGTTGCGAACGTGATCCTTGCGGGATGCACGTTCGCAACCCGCAGTGGCACGTCTGCGCACGTGCGTGTTGCGATTTGGCACATCTGCCGAAACATGGAAGTAACCCGTTCCGGTACTTCCGGGTTTCGGTGCATCTGTAACCTGAAAAAACAACCTGAAGCGTCTGTAACCCAAGGTATGACTGTATTGCTTGATTGCAGGAAAAAAACCCCCAAAGAAGTTTACAAAAAAAGCTAAAACTATCCCTAATAAATTTACAACTGTAATTTGTAAAATTGGGATAGCTCAGCTGGCAGAGCAAGAGACTCATAATAATAATATTGTTTATCTCTTTGACCTCTTGGGAAGTACTGCTAGAAGGCCCTCTGCCTGGTTCTCTAACGTCTTGCAGTGAGGGAACCGCCAGAAGAATGGCCTCAGTGTCTAGGCTGAACAATGGCATGGAGACGCTCCTCCACAATGTATACAGGGTGAAGCCGTTTAGGGCTTTAAAGGTCAGCACCAGCACTTTGAATTGTGCTCGGAAATTTACTAGGAGTCAATGTAGGTCTTTCAGGAATGGTGTTATGCTGTCCCGGCTGCCACTCCAAGTCACCAGTCTAGCAGCTACTTTCTGGATTAATTGTAGTTTCCGGGTCACCTTCAAAGGTAGCCCCACACAGAGCACATTGCAGTAGTCCAAGCGGGAGATAACTAGAGCATGCGCCACTCTGGTGAGACAGTCCGCGGGCAGATAGGGTCTCAGCCTGCGTACCAGATGGAGCTGGTAGACAGCTGCCCTGGACACAGAATTGACCTGCGCCTCCATGGACAGCTGTGAGTACAAAATGACCCCCAGGCTGTGCACCTGGCCCTTTAGGGGCACAGTTACCCCATTCAAGACCAGGGAGTCCCCCCCACCTGCCTGCCCTCTTCCCCCAAAACAGTACTTCTGTCTTGTCAGGATTCAACCTCAATCCATTAACTGCCATCCACCCTCCAGTCACCTCTAAACAATTACATAGGGCATTCATCACCATCAATGGTTCCAATTTAAATGAGCCACATGACCCCTGTCTGAAAAACAGGTGGCATTCCTTTCTGCAATAGGTAAGGAAGCTTAAAACGGAACTCCTATAACTGTGTTAATACTGTCTTAGATCCAAAACAAGTTTTACATGAGTTCATATAGAAGAAAAGACTGTAAGATACTGATGGCACTGACAACATTCTGCAAATATCACCTGCCATGATACTAGATGAACAGGTTTGAACTAATCTCTGTACACAAATGTACAAAGAGGTATTTGACTTAGGTTTGATGCTGCACATTCAACAACACAAAAAGTAGTAGTTACAATTTAAGTGAGCGCTAAAAATGTCAAGCTTGATTAATTCTTGATTTATTTATTTTTTGATGGGACCCCTTATATGGGATTTTGTATATAAAAATTTCCTTGGCTCTTCTTGCTGGCCCATGTAGGACCAGCATGGATAGTTGGCCCCTGTGAATATTTGATGTTTTCTCCCCTTACGGCTTTGATCAACGGGCTACCACTAAAACGAGACTGCATTTTAAACTGTATTCTAATTTATATTTTAATCAACTGTTTTATTTTTTGTTTTGTTTTTAATGTTTTTACTGTATTTATATTCGGTGTTAGCTGCCCTGAGCCCAGTCTTGGCTGGGGAGGGCGGAGTATAAATAAAAAAATTATTATTATTATTATTATTATTACCCACATAGTTTGTTTCTGATGTTTAACATAGGGCATTTGAATAAAACTAAACTTCAGATTAGTTCAAATTATTAAAAGCTTTTTCTGAGTTTTCTCTGCTAAATGTAAATATCCAATTTTCTAGATTTGTTCCTCGTTTTCAAGAATTAAGATGAGATCCCCACCCCCCGCAAATGTCAGGAATACAAATTAGACAAATAATACAAAGACCGTGTTCATACATCGCATCCTTGGTCCAGCAAATTATGATCAGGAATGTATCACATGCAGTATACTCCCTATGTTTCCTTTCCTTTCTTCCCTTGTAAACTCAGATAAACTTCAGACTTTCAGATTTGTTAAACTACAGTTTAATTACAGTTTCTGAATGATGGAACTTTGGTTTGAGCATGCCGGTAGTTTACAAACCAGAATTGCAAAGAGCAGTTAGATCTAAGGATGAGTTTCGTGTAATTGGATGGGGTTGCACACCCTGTGAAGGAGTGGGTTTGCAGTTTGGGGATTCTTCTGAATCCAGCTCTGTCACTGGAGGCTCAGGTAGCCTCAGTGGCTATAAGTGTCTTTTACCAACTATGACTTGCTCAGCAACTACAGCCATTCCTGGAGCCTGCATGCACATTCAACTGCCTAACGGCATCTGTGTCACCCAGGGAATCGCAGCTGCAGAGATGAGAAAAGGAAAGTTGTTCTATTGTCTGGAGAGGTTATTTCCTGGTTCACATGGAGAAATGGTTTTCAACGGAATGCAGTGGTGAAAGTGCACAGCTGTATTGAGGCAGCACCGGGTGTTGAAACTTTGCGCCCCTAACAATTTTGCACCCAGGGCAACTGCCCTTGTCCCCCCCCCCACTACGCCACTGACTGTACAGTACTTACATCTGACTTATTTCGAGGCCCCTTTTCAAAGTGACCCCACTGAGCAAAGGTGTGTACTTTGGAAACAAAATTGTTTGGGGAAGCCATGGATAAGAAGAGTAAAAGCAGGGAGATAGAAGAGAGGGGGAAAGGGTCAAAAGCATACCTGCCCATTCGATCTCTAACATTAAGAATTTATAACAGGATTACCACTGTGAAGATCTGAGATAGGAGGCTGGCTTCAATTGAAGATGGTGGTTTGGTCCTAGGCTTTAAAAAAATCATTACCATTTGAATTGGGCCCAAAAGCAAATAGGGAGCCAGCCAATGAAACTGATGCAACATTAGTGTTATGTGATTGCTGTACCAGATTCTAGCCGGCACTTTTGCTGCTGCATTTTGTACCAGCATAAATTTTCCAGTTCTTTCAAAGGCAGCCTTGCACAGAGCTCAGTGTAGACTTGGGCAGGGTTTTAACTTGATATTGAGTAGCAGGAAGTAATAGAGCTATAGTTTTAAGATGTTATTTTTGTTTTGCGTTTATCTGCTATTGTTTTATATTATAATGCTGACTGGTGTTATTTTTAAATTGAGTTAGTGTATCTAGCCTTGCTTTGAGGGACAGACTAAGCATTTTTTTAAAAAAAATTAAATGAATAAAAATTAGCATCTGCCATTTTAACAAGAAGTTCAAAAACTAAAGAAATTTGGTTACACATTTCTCATCTAGCCTAGTCTGTATTTTGAATTATTTCCTTCGTTAATGGTTTTGGATGGTGTTTCAGGCTCACAAGGATGTCAGTGCTTTAATAATAAATAATAACAAAAATAGTTATAAAAATACACACATTTATCCAATTTTGTATTGAACACATTGGCATTTTTGTTTTTGTTGATGTCACAATTGCTGGGGGGGAGTGGATCTAGAAGGGAAGCCTTATTAGTCTGTTGCAGAGCGTACAAGTCCTGTATTAGGGTTGGCGTCACCTCTGTTTTACAGATGATATGCCTTTGTTTGAGGAACTGTCAGATAACAGCCCTTTATCTGAAGGCATTCTCTGTTTGAAGGGATGCCTAGTAGTCCATGTCCAATTTAAAGATTAAAGAAACATCAGAAGAGAGAGCAGAAGGGACCTTGAAGTTATCTGTCAGCAATTGTACCTGCAATTTGTACCTGGGCAGCAGACTAAGCAGGCACGAAGATCTTCCACACTATGGAGAGATGTGTTTCCTTTTAAATTCTAGCAACAATAGTGTGCAGTTTTTATGCAAGTTTGTGCTTGCTTTTCCCTTTCCTCTCCCCACCCCCTTTTTTGAGGGTGGGGGTGCATAAGTGACAGCTCTACCTGCAGTACCATGAAGATCTACACATCCACTGTGTCATAAGCCTTTGCGGGGCCCAATTTGTCAAATGAAAGGTGCAGCCATTCTGGAGAGTGTGCTCTAGGACTAAATGTGTTCATGGCTGCTTTGTAGCTTTTGTCATCTGACCAAGTTTTTAAGCTTGCCGTATGGGGCGTTTGTACCTAATTCTTGTGAATGCTTAAAACAAATTCTTGTGAAACCTGTTTACAGTTCACAGATGACTGATGATGGTGCATAGGACAGGTAGGGACAGGCAGGTTCCGGCAAAGCTGGGTAAATAGATGTGGTTTCAGTTTGCCTTTTTGGGGAAACCACAAGTGGGCACTGAAAGGTTGACAAGGAAGTCCCTAGATTTTTTGACATGATTAACTTAAAGAGTTCCTATGGTGGTTTTTTTTCCATGCTGCTTCAGCTGCACTGCTTCAGCATGCTGTGCATAGTATTACAAACTGCCAAACCACACTATTTTGTATCTCCTTTATGATTCTAACCCCACAATAAGAAACACTACATCTGCGTTGTTCATTTTGCCTATTTGGTTCTTGTCATCAAATAGTGAGTAGTGATTCTAGTTGCTAGATGCTTCTCAACCTTGCTGTCTTTTTCAGTGGAATATAAATGCCTATTGGCCTACAATTCTATACACACTTTCCAGGGAACAAAGCCCCATTGAACACATGGAACATACTTCTGAATAGGCACATGTGGTATTGTAGTAATAGGGCAGGGATCCCAAATCATTTTGAACCTGGGAGCACATTTGGAAATCTAAGAAATTGTAATGTGTACCACAAAATAGCCATCTCACTGAAGAAAAGCTGGCTCAGTACCCGTCTTCAAACAACAACAACAGGGAACACACCTATGCAGACCCTAAAACAAATAATATACAGATAAGAAAAAAAACAGGCCACCATCCCCAAACAACCAAGTGAACAATAAACCCTCATAGATGGGCGCCTAGGAGGGTGTCTGGGAGTGCCACGGCATACCTGCCAAGTGCCCGGAAAAAACAGGACATCCCATTTTCTCGTGTGAGATCATGGCAGCCATTTGGGTGTTGCGATCTTGCACTGTGCTCTCGTTCCGAAAAAGTGCTTTTTTGAGGGGGAGGGGAGAGTGAGGAGCAGATCACATGACTCACCTGGGAACGCATCCTGGAAGATGTATGTCCCAGTTTTGGGTCTCCAAAAGTTGGATGGTTTGCCATGGTCCCACCATTGCCACCTTGGGGACCCCAGCACTAGTGAATTAGCTACCCAAGAGAAGAATCAAATTTACACTTTTGTAGATTAGAAGTCATGTTCTTGAAATAAAAAGATTGCCTTTCCATTATGCTGTGCATTTGGCTCCAATTGCTCTCTCCTTCACTGAGTGAGTAATCATTGTCCTGCTGCATTTCTTTATTTATGCAGGCCTATGCACATGATTGGAGCATAAGCAAATAATGAACAGGTTCCTACTGACTCTGAGTAATTTACAACCTGCATTTTAACTGTGGTCAGGAAAGAGACAGCAAAAGGAAGGGAAGAAAAAAAGGGCAATAAAGGGAAAATGTAATCAAATGTGCATGCATATACTTAGGTACACATACTTAGATCTGCTAAGTGCTATCACACTTCCTACTTTACTTCCAGGCTTCGTTCTGCCCATCTCTTTTTCAAACACAAGCCCAGAAACATGCACTGAGTCTCTTACACACTTCTAGTCATGTACATTTATTTGCTTTTCACCTACCTGAGCACAGAATCCTGCCACCCACTGAAAAACCAAACCACTTTATCCCATGGCAGCCACAAATGCTTTCAAGTAGCACCTATAGAGAAACTATAAACCTATAGGGACCTATAAATATGCTTGCAAATGTGCCTTATTAATTGCTCACTGTGACTATTTTGCTTGTAAGTAATCATCACTGCCTTGTTCTTATTGCATTGTATTTCTCTGACCTCACTCTAATACTTCTCCCCACTACAACACAGTAACAGAAGCTACCCTTCTGAAATTCATACAGAAATGGTGTTGGGAGGTAGAGGGGAGGCTCCTCTGAGGATTGTTACAGTGTGGTGTAGTGGTTAAGAGCGGTGGACTCATAATCTGGTGAACCGGGTTTGCTTCCCCACTCCTCCACATGCAGCTGCTGGGTGACCTTGGGCTAGTCACACTTCTTTGAAGTCTCTCAGCCCCACTCACCTCACAGAGTGTTTGTTGTGGGGAAGGAAGGGAAAGGAGAATGTTAGCCGCTTTGAGACTCCTTAAAGGGAGTGAAAGGCGGGATATCAAATCCAAACTCTTCTTCTTCTTCTTCTTCTTCTTCTTTTACTCCAAGGAAGCAAACTGATGGATGCGAAAGTGTGAAGTGTGCCTCTAATTTTAATTTAAAATAGAAACTCGTTTGGGAAGTGCTGGTGTAATGATCTGTGATGCTAACATTACAAAATATATACCACAGTACGACACACCTTGATACAAGACACTCCAGAACAGGGTTGGTCAATGTGGTGCCCTCCAGATGTTGCTGGACTATATAACTCTCAACATCTTTGACCATAGGCTATGCTAGCTGAGGCTGATGGTAGTTGGAATCCAACAGAACCTGGATGCCAACATATTCACTATGCTTGCTCTAGAACCGGTTCACAACCTGTGGGTCCTCAGATGTTGTTGGACTACAACTCCCATCATCCCTGAGCTCTGGCCTTGCTAGTTAGGGGTGATGGGAGTTGTAGTTCAGCAACATCTGGGGACCCACAGGTTGAGAAAGGCTGCTCTAGAAGCATTCTTCAGGGAGTGGTACGGGCTTCTCCTTGGTTGGTAGATGGCTAACTCTGCAAGGGTAATTGCATATGTCTATGACAGTGCAAAAACAAAAAAACTGATATGCCTTTCCCAGTAGCCTAGCAGAGAAGGAAGTTGTATGGACCAATAGGGCTAGTATGGTTTAGTGATTAAGAGTTGTTGGTATAGGACAGGCATAGGCAAACTCGGCCCTCCAGATGTTTTGGGACTACAACTCCCATCATCCCTAGCTAACAGCACCAGTGGCCAGGGATGATGGGAATTGTAGTCCCAAAACATCTGGCGGGCCGAGTTTGCCTATGCCTAGCCTAGGAGCTCAGAGGCCAGGGTTCAAATCCTCACTCGGCCATGAAACATACTGAGTGGCCTTGGGTCAGTCACTGTTTCTCAGCCTCACTTATCTCACAGGGTTGTGAGGATAAAATGGGGAGGGAGAGAACCTTGTATGCAATGGTCAGGACTTATTGGAGAAAAGGTGTATTTATAGGTAATACAAATTATTAGAACCAATAGATGACAGATCTAGAAAGAAGCTGTTATGATCACCAGTTAATGGTTGCTGTGAGTGATCAGGCCACTGTTTTCATCCTATATACATTCAAGCTTTGCATAGAAACATCACATGCAGAACTCTTGTTGTTTTTGCTGCAGCAGTAACCAAGACAACAAAGGGGAATAATCCCTGACCCAACAAAACTATGAGACCATGTAAGAGTCAGGAACAACAATATAATACAAAAACATTTTGCTGCTTTACTCTCAGTGATATAAAATCAATCATTTTAAAATAAAACTGAGATGATTAAAATGTTAACATGTTATTTACATTACAGTTGTACAACAGAGAGTAATAAACTAATCACCAATATACCTGGAGATCAGAGATTCCAGTTCAAAATTATGAATACATAGTACACCCCGCCCCCAGTCATGATACATAAAAATTATTAAGAATGATCCATCTGTATGATGCACGTGTCAGAAACAAAGCGGAGACTTCTTTCACATGTGGTGGGATTCTAATTTGACCAACGCTTGAGGAAACTCAAAAGCCAAATAAATACTAACGACGGTATGAAATTCCTCTCCATCTGGTATTTTTCTTGCTAAATTATGTGGAAAGATCTGTGAATCTCACATATGTTAGCAGCTGCTAGAATATGATTTGCAAGGAAGCTGAAATTGTTTATGATACCTTCCATCAAATAATGGCAGGGCAAAATATAGGAATTTGCCATTGTGGCTTAAATAACACATTTTCTTGGATTTAGAGAACAAAAAAATACCCCTGTGATCTTTTTAATACGAAGGAATAATTTTATTGAATACTGTAAAAGAAATCATCTGATGCCATATTTAATTTATGGTTTTACAATGTTCTAAGATTGCTCAGAGTCTACAGTAAATTAGGATACTGCAATCCATTTTTTGAGAACAAAAAAGGGCATTCAATTTCGCCGCCTCATTGGTGTTTCCTTTTGTGCATTGTTGAAGCTTTCAAATGCTACTTTTGCAAGACCTTCCTGTTATTGTTAATTACAAGATAATAACAATTAAAAACAATCTCTTTAAAAGTAGCACATTATTTACATTATTGCCTCAAGAGAGAATAATAAACAAATTACCAACATAACTGGTGAGTAGAGATTCCAAAGGCCAGAGGTGTTGCAACACGGTAGTCTTCTCCCAGTTCTGTCACCTTCCTGGGCTGTGATGCACTTCACATTCCAATCTGTCACCTAACATAGGAGCCACCAACATTGCACCCATAGGTGTCAGTGTGCCCGCCAGTAGCTCCAATTGGTGCCTCTGAAAGTTCTCAGTAAATATTCCCTCAAAAATAAAAAATGCACAGTGGTCTGCTTTCTCTTCCTGATCAGCTCCTGTTTGCACTGGCTTTGCCTCTCCTGCGTTCAACATACCCCTTCAGATATGCCCACATTTCATTGGATTCAAGGACTGTGTACCCATCCTCACTTCCATCTGAACAGGGGAGAGGGGTAAAGAGCTTCTCTCTGTGAGTGTGGCTGATGTAGGAGCCTCGCCCACATTGATGGTGGACCTTTTTGTGGTCCTGCCTCTTTTTCTGCTCTTTTAGATGCAGCAGAATGGGCGTAGCCAAGGGACGGGGCAGGGAGGGGCAGCTCCCCCCCCCATCAATAAAAATACATAGCAAATTGAGGTTTGGTCCCCCCTCCTAACAAAAGGCCTGACCACCCTCACAAAAATCCTGGCTACTCCCATGTGCAGCAACCATTTTGTCTGATACCATACCCCATACCCATCAATTGTCCCGGACCGGGACACCCTGTTTTTCCCTGTGAGAGGACAGCGGTCATTTTGAGCACCACCATCTGACCTTGAAAATGTGCTTTTTTCAGGGCTGTGATCTTGCCGCTTGCAGGAGTGTGGCCTGGAAGATGCCGTCCCAGCGTGTTGGAGGGTATGATACCCCACAGCAACAATTTGGTGTTAACGTCATGCCACCTATGACAGCCATTTTATGACTGGCACCCACAACACTTTTTCAAAATTTCAAATGTACATAGTGCCCGCCACAACATTGGTGACCCGTGCTCTAACTAGTTTCTGTAAAGAATGGAAAATCCCTATTAGGGTAATTCCTCTATTAGGTCAACCAAGGTGTCACGAAAGTGTGTGCAAGCTTTTAACTTTTCCAGAACAGTTCAAGATAGTAAGCAAAGCAAGGTTCAGAGAAGGCACAAAAATCGACTGACATTGTAATCTGTATTAGTCACAGTCTTAAAATGGAATTTGGAAGGAGGTAGCAGACCTCTTCATGGATCACTGCCTTGCCGTGGCGAAGGGGCTTGAATAACTCAGAGAAGCTATGAGCTATGCCGTGCAGGGCCACCCAAGATGGACAGGTCATAGTGGAGAGTTTTGACCAAACGTGATCCACCTGGAGCAGGAACCGGCAAGCCACTCCAGTATCCCTGCCAAGAAAACTCCATGGACAAAGACAACAGGCATATAAAAGTTATGACGCTGGAAGATGAGCCCCTCAGGTCGGAAGGCGTCCAACATGCTACTGAGGAAGAGCGGAGGACAAGTA